TGGCCGCTGCTGACGACACTGAACTCGATGCTGCAGAGTTTCGAGCCTTTGTGGCTCAACGCTTTGGAGAAAACAGTGAGACGCAGGTTGGCAAGGTGGCAAAGATGCTGCAATACGACCGATGCACTCCCGAGATGCAAGCCCGCATCTTGGATGCACGTCGTGCAGAGTGGAGCAAATATAGGAGCTTCAATGCTGCAATGCCTATTCGAGGCAAGGAATTGGAAGAGTTACTTCAAGAAGGGCATGTTCCTATTCCTATGCAATGGGTAGATGTGGATAAGCAAGCTCATCTGACAGGTACGCCTGAACATCGGCCAGAAAACAGATCTCGGTTAGTAGCTTGTGGAAATCACGAACAAGTGAGCCGTGATTCACAGGGTATTCGTTGCGATAGCCCCACTGCTGAGACTGAAGGACGCATGTTGATTGCAAGCTTCGCATCAAGCCATCGTGTGACCCTATATGTGGCAGATGTTTCCTCAGCGTATTTTCAAAGTCAACCTATGACGAGGTTGCTGTTGCTCAAACAGCCACGTGGTGGAATTCCAAGCCCGGATGTTCCACCGGATGCAATGTTAGTTGCACGCCTTCCGATCTATGGCACGATCGACGCTGGCAGAGGTTTTTACTTGAGGATGAATGGTGAGATCACCAGTGCCGGGTTGAAGTGCAGTCGCATTACACCTGCATTGTACTATTTGCACAATTCCAAGGGAAAGTTGATAGGCATGGTCGCGACACATGTCGACGACTTGTTGTATTGCTACCTTGACGAAGGCAAGAAGACAATTGAAGGTATACTCAAAAGGTTCACGATTGGCAAAACAGAATCGGGAAGGTTCCGATACTGCGGACGTCAGTTCGTACAGCATGAGGACTGCTCCGTAAGCATTTCTACAAGTGAAAACTGCAGAACAGTGAAGCCGATCGAAATCGACAAGCACCGGAAGCTGTCGGAAAAGGTGACAGAGAAGGAGTTGACAAGCCTCAGGAGCGTTGTTGGTAGTTTGGCTTGGGTTGCCCGTTATGGAAGACCAGACCTTTGTTACCGTGTGAATGAGATGCAGCGTGCATGTAGCGCAAAGGCAACAGTGCAAGACTTGAAGAATGCCAACAAGGTTGTTGAATTGGCACTTCAAGGAAGTGACTTGCAGATCACCTTCAAGAGTGATTGGATTGACTGGAGCTTTCGCAAACGAAGAAGGCTTTAAGAGTCAGCAAGGCCGCATTCACTACATAACGAATGCGAGCAGCCTCAAGGAAGGCAGTCACAGAATGCATCTGATCAGCTTTGGTTCAACTACCCTCAAAAGGGTGTGTCGTGCTACATTGCAAGCAGAAGCATATGCTCTGCAAACTGCAGTCGAACATGGAGATCGCCTACGATGCCTGATTTGTGAGTTGACCGGACGACTTGATGACTTCAAGAACTGGCATGAAGAAACCCAGAGGCGAATGGCACACGTGTACTACACGGATTGCAGAAGCTTATCGGACCATTTACTGGCAGAAGTTCCAAGAAAGGTACAAGACAAGAGGCTTGGCATAGAACTTGCCGCATTGAGGCAAGGGGTATGGACTGTGAGTGGCGAGAGAACATCAGAGATCTACAGTCCCTATGGTGACCACCTGAGGTGGATTGAGACATCGAAGCAATTGGCAGACCCGCTAACCAAGAGCATGAAGCCGGACTACCTCCTCAAGACACTGGAAAGTGGCCTTGTGAATGTCGAGAACAGTGGCGCATGCGAGAAGGGAGCCAAGAAGAAAGATGAAGAAGTCTCACCTGACTTGTTTTGAGAATTCGACATGGAATGGCATGGTTTACGGCCCCACGGGGAATAGAGTTGCTTGGCTGCCTTTGTACAACTTGAACTGTAAAGCCCGCAACACACCTGTAGATAAGACGGGTGTGAATTTCAGCTGTTGTAGCCAGGGTGTATTGCGTACAGTTGATGCACCGTCGCTGCTGTTTCGGCTGAACAGGGCCCTTGAGCTGATTCGCTGCTGCGAAAAGGAACTGTGCGAGATTCAAACTTGTCTACGTGGGAGTTCCCGCTTTGACTGCTGTCGATGTCGTTCGTCGTTGTTTCACGTGCTTTCTGTGGCTGCCGATGAACCAAGCGTGTTCACAGTGGTGTTTCAAGACCTCCCACAAGGGGTGCGTGCGGCGGATCTTGAAGCGAGGGCGGTAGAAGAGGTTTTCCATTCAACTGGGGGGTTTGTTCATCAAGAGTCTACATTGCCCAAACAATACAATCCAACGGGCAGGTCCCACTGGCCAGTTCCAACGTGGCTCACTCACCTTGAGTGTCATCCTGAACAGTTCACGGACCCAAATATACTGACCACAGGATTGGTCAAAAAGAGACCGTTTTAAAGGATGTTTTCAAACCGGCGGTGAGATGAACAGCGAAAATCCGATGTTTGCCTTTAAACATCCTCCACAATGTGATTTAATTCAGCGAAAAACATAAATACTATGTGAACACAAATAAAGGACAGTAAGACCCACCTTACAATCACATTTGTCCCTGATACAGTTGCTTAAGGATCCCCTTCCGCGATTCCTCATTTGGGCTGCATATGTTTGGCATCCACAAGGACCAATGGCGCCCCATTTCTTAGGGTGCCACTGTCCCTCTTGAGGGTCTGTATTCGCAACTTCTAGATCAACTTTTCCCACAAGTCTTCATAGGTGAAAGGACACGTTTTGAAGCTCTCCATGTTGCAAGCCTTGAACGCGCTGTCAGGCTCCGCTCCGACCTTGGCCGTTGCGCCCGAGCCCAGGACGAACCAGACTCTGAGGAACACATGGAAGTTGAACAAATGGTCCCTTGGAAGACGACTTTCCTGTACGAACAGGATGGCTTTCCACTTCCATGATCAGTGAGTGGGAGTTTTTTCTCCTCTTCCAAAAGAGTGGTCTCCCAAGGTCTCCCGACGTCTCTTGAGTTTCAATAGGAGGATTGATCGCTATAGACTACCCTTGGATCCGCCCACCGGATCCGTCTAAACAGCCCGGAAGCTAAGATCGTCGCATTTTTAAATATATTTTCGTGAGAATCGGAGAGGAATCCCATGCACTCAAACCATGGACTCTTGGACTCGAATGTGTCGTTCTTTGTCTCCTTCATTCAGGTCCGTTTTTCTCTTGAAACTTCGCACGTCAGGACCCGAGGCGCACACATGCCCTGCGCGCCCGCCGCGCCCACGATGCCCTGCGCGACCGCTCCCACCCTCGGCTCGCGAGCGCTGTCCGCGTCGGTGCTGCAGCGCCGGGGACCCGAGTTCGTTTGGAGAAGCAAAACCACTCCAGGTATACTGAGTATACTGCAAATTACACAAGTTGCTGCTATAATGACCGTTTTTTCTCCTTGCCAGTGGAAACCACCGGTCCCAGCAAACACATGTATTTGAAATATCAGGTGAACAAACATGTTGAAAGCCAGCCGATAGGAGGCCTTCAGTTATCTAGTTCGTGCGAATTTTCAGTGAGAAGCAGGGGGTGTTGGGGCAGCAGACGCGGTCCCAGGCGCTCCCCGCGTCGTCGTGGTGACGGCACCAGTGACGGCGCCCGCCCAGTTCGAATCCGCGTGGTGCCGCACGGCCTCACCCGGCCTCCGGGCCGGGTGAGGTCAATTGATCAATTGGTTGAGATGGTCAGAGAGACAGAGAGGACCAAAGGATACCGGGGTTTCTGCTTCTATGTCTTTCGCTCTTTTCTGAACGCAAGTGGCAATGACTAAAATGAGAGTGAGAGGGATTTTAGACTGAAGCGGTCATGCTAGTGAGAGGAACTTTCGTCAGCAGTACCCGATAGTTTCAGGGATGTCTTTGACCACAGACATTGAATCGTGGCATAAACCATTTGTTTTGTGGATGCAGCATGCTCACCTAAACTAGGCAAGGGCTGCCGCATTGACACCGGCATGTCTTCCACTCTAGCTGACGGTCAGCTAGCTTTTTCTGGGCTTATGACCGGGTTGGGTGCATTTCTGCGGCAGCGATTCGAGCGTTGGTTTTACTGGTTGCCAAAAGTGCACATCAAGTCAGAGTCAAAGGAGTACCCAGCATCCGTGCCGTTGGAAGTGGAAGTCATCTCGCACGCCGCGAGTGATGTCACAAGTGTTTAGTCCCACAACCAAATTCAAAAGCAACATGAAAGCAACAGGTAAAGTGAGCGTTTTATGATGTTTTCTGATCGATTCTGGGTGATTCGCAGTACTATCTGGCCACACACCACTGTAGAGTTCAAGGAGTCTAACACTGGAGCTGGGTCCTGGTGCAGAATGCACCCGGAAGCTGATGAGGGCCGTGACTCCCGATCCACTGGATCTCGAGTCTGAGTCGATCGATGGATCGAGGCCAATGTTCGATCGGGTGATGGGGAAAAGACGCGCTGTGTTTGATAGGAGTTGTCCCAGAATTGGAACTGGATCGGGTGTTGGGCGAATTCCCAGACACATCAATCATTTTTCAGAAGCGGGCTCGGAAGCGGCTCGCAGCGCCAGGGTGGGTCTCACGTATCGAATTCCAGATGTGTTTGTTGGTATGGGGCTTTCTGACTTTTTTGGATGGTTTGGCCGCAGCAAGTTCGCACTTTTTGGCTGCAGCATGTGGATGAACACCCATTTTTTCAGTGAATTCACTGATGCGAGATTGCAGGAAGATGCAGGAAGAGGATCTCAGGCATAGAAGGTCGTGTGACAATTTGTGGAACACGTGGCTGTGGAATGATGGGAAGCCGCACAGTTTTCTTGACTGCTGTCTGTTGTCCATGCGTTCAGCTCTTTGCTGAAGAGCCTGTGATTGTGGAACAATATTGCCCGGGTGTCAAACAGTTATTGAAAGTAAAATGGAAGGGAATGACAGTGCAGCAGAAGGATCAGAAGGAGTGGCCACTACAGTATCCCTGTAAGTTTCTTCTTCAATTGAAACTGCTACAACATGGCATTTGCAGGGTCAATACCTCACAAGAGTCACAAGAGGAAGGAGCAAGTTGCTGCACACACAGCGCGGTGCACGGCTTGATGCCATGGCACTTCCGAATATGCCAAGGACCACGCGTTGCTGCACTGGCACGGGCAGGCGGGCAGGCCGAGACACTCGTTGAGTTCGTCAAGGCCACGGATCGAGCTGTTAGTGGAACCCACCCCTTTCGCTACCCGCTACGCCCTTCCACACCACGGCAAGGAAGTGCACATGCAACGGGCCCGATCGGGTTGTACCAGAAATGCGTCTTTGTCTTGGAACGTGGGTGAGGCCTCTTGAGGCCTCAGATCGGCCACAGAGCCGGTGGCACAGCCGGGACTCACCGCGGCAGATTTGAAGTGCCCCAGTTCCAGATCCAAGCGCACAGCACAGACGCGCCCCTGACGCGGAGTTTGGTTTTCCTTTGCTGTTCTTCGTCAGAGGCACCCGATGCGGCCGTTGCCTCTAATCCGAGAGGCAGGAGGAAACGCCCTCTCCGAGCAGTCCCACTGGGCGGTCCGGATGGCGAGCAGTCCGCGGCAGACTGGGTGGTCCAACAGTCCTCGCATGGTGTAGTCCCCAGGGCCGAAGACACGGTCCTGGTCCAAAGGTCCCCATTTTGGGGGTTCTTCCATTGTTAAGGTCAATGGCAATGGTGAAGATCAATCCAGCCAGATGTCTAAGTGTTCCCATTTTGGGAGTGCATGTGTGACCTGAATTCTCCAGGTGTGTTCAACAGGGCATTCAAGATCTGATGGCAGCTTCATCTCAGCCAAGTGGAGGTTCCCAGACAGAAAATGAACAGCTGTTGCGAAGTATTTGCGAAGTATCCCCGAGATGTGAGCACCTCTTTAAAGAATCAACGTTGGGTCTGTCACGTCTGTCACGTCCCGAACGAACATGCTCCACCAAACACTTCCAACCAGAATGCCTTCATCAGGCTCAACCGTCAGAGCTGCGTGCCTGTGCTTCGTTGCTGGCCGAAGCCCTTGTGCCTTGGCGTGTTTCTTTCCCTGCCCGAGACAAGGCCCGGCAATGAGAAACGAAGAAAGAAAGACAGATCTTGTATATAAATGCAGTCATTTCTTCCCTTTAACAAAGCTTGCCTCAGTTTCATCGTCTTATTGCGCCTTCATTCTTCATTGTCCCCTAAAAGGTCAAGTTTATTTGGGGTCTGTAAGTGAGTTGCTCAATCTTCTGTTGGATGTTGCAGTTAGGTTTTTTCCTGTCAAACTTCTGGGTCAAATTTGCCAGCGCTTTTCACGTGGTGACCATTTGCGTTGTTGTTGTTGTTGTTGTTGTTAGAAACAAAAACAGCCGCCCAACATAATTGTCACATGTTGCAACTTTGGAACTTCAAGGGGACGAGGAGGGACACGGTTGAAGGTTTGAGTGAATGTTGGTTTAGTAAGTAGGTGGACTTGTTGGACTTGTTTCACTGAAGTCTGGGCTGGTCCGTTTTTAGTGTTTTTGAGGTGTTGTTCTGGAGGGGGGGGTTCCAAAAAACAACAACGGGGCTGCAGTCTTTGTTTCTAGGAGGGGGTAGAGACAACAACACCTTTTGAGGGGGGGTTCCAAAAAGCAACAGCGGGGCTACAGTTTTTGTCTCTAGGATGTGGTAGAGGTTCTAAGTAGAACTTTTACAGAGGCTTAGCTGACTGGTTGCTACTACTACTACTACTACTACTCCTCCTCCTCTCACGACGACGACGACGACTACTACTACTACTCCTACTACTACTCCTACTACTACTACTACTACTACTACTACTCCTGCTACTGCTACTACTACTACTACTACTACTACTACTACTACTACTACTACTACTCACGACTACTACAACAACGACCGCTACGTTTTTTCCGGGGGGGGTCAAAAAACAACGACGGGGCTGCAGATTTTGTTTCTACCCCCTTGTAGAGACAAAGGAACAAGATGTGTTGTAACGGGGCTGCAGTTTTTGTTTGTACCTTGTTGTTGTTGTTTGTTTGTTTGTTTGTTTGTTTGTTTGTTTGTTTGTTGTTGTTGCCGTCAAGGTACGCAGTGAAGTGACCTACGTTCCAACGCATTTGTTGAGCCCAATGACCCCAAAGTGGAACTTGTTCGGCTTCATTGCTGTTTTGGATCGAATGAGAACCATCGTTCTGCGCCCTTTTTTTTTTCTGACTCAGGTGCCGAACGGCGGCGAGACTTCGACCCTCGGAGAAAGGGTTTTGGACTCACTACGTGTTGCTGAAGGTGGGCTTTGTATACAGTATTCTTTGTGAATTTTAAATTTGTGCTCCCCTTTCCCGTCACACTTTGCTTCTTTGCATTGTGTCTGAAATGTAGATAATTAGGCCACTCACTTATGGAGTCTGCGATTGTGATATATGGTTTGCTCATATCCACTATCATTAGGAGGCAGACAACACCTCCCAAGACCATGGTAGGCTGACGTCCGTCATGTGTCAAGCAGGCTGTCACGGTTTTGACCCCCCAACCATATCCACTTTCCCTTCTATAGTAGCTATATAGTGAGAGAAACCTGTTTGGGTATTTCTTTTGTCTCCAGCGCTTCTTGTTCAATGGAAATTCTGTATTTTTCCCTGCAAACACACCGTCTGGGCTTGCATCACGTTTCCTCTAAAACATGTACTTGCAGATGTTTGTGAACACCATTTGTGACACACCACACCTGGCTACCTGGCCAGTCTGCTACCCTTCTTCCAAGGCTTGGCAAGGTCCGCCGCTTGTTGATGGCAATCCTGGTGGAAATCTCTCTAGTGCAGCTGGTCACGATCGTTCTTTGGGGATGGGAGACTGGTTTGCCGGAGGCAAGAAGCCAGGTCCTCTGTTGGCAGCGTGCCCTAAAACAGCCAAGAGCCAGCATACAACGAGCGGCCAGAGTTGCAGCAGCTGCAACCACACACCTTGATTGACACACACACACACACACTTTTTGCTTCACTGATGTTCACAATTCATTGCAAGAACTCGGCAGACAGTTCCTTCGACCTCCGGCTCTCATAGAGACAGCAGCCTGGAAGAGGAACCATTGCAAGAATGACAAGAACACGGGAGAAGTGCAAGCAACTCCATTCACAGAATGAACCTTTGTTTAAGATCTTGTCAAGTTCAGACATGAAGCTCTCGCATCCTCTGAATATAGACCAAACACATCCAAACACATGTATCCACAACTCCGCTTCCACAGATAAAAAAGAAACACCCGTCGACGCTGCCGCCGTCGACGCTGCCTCTGATTCCACCGCTTCGTCCTTGATTTTCTCGTTTTGAGGCAACGAATGATGATTGGAGCTTTCCATGAGGGGAGACGATCCTCGCAGAACTATCAGCTCCTTCTGGTACCCGGGCGGCGGTTCTTCCATGGCACGACCCAAAACGACCTGGGCGGCGCTCGACTCGACTCGGACCCACAACGACCGTTGCGAAGAGCCAAACGTGGCCCCCGGGCACCTCCCGGTGGCCCACGAGAGCTACTTGGTCCGTCTGTTCTTTTTCAAGTCAGAAAGTAATCAAATGGGACATCAGTGGATTTTTGCAGCTTTGCTTGCAAGATATCCAAGGTTTCAGCCTGATGATCCAATAGATATCTAGCAGCTTTCCGTTTGATCATCCAAAGATGTCCAATGTGACCTACTGTATGGGCGATTCTGCTAGCTAGCTCCGACGTGACTGGAAGCCGAACGATAGTTGTTTTCCCCCTGAGGTCGATGGAAACAGTGGGCCTCAAGCCGTTTGCGAGCTGCAAACAGATGGGAACACCATGAAGCTGTGGCATGGCCGCATGGTATTGAATTCGGGCGCTGTCTCCACAACTGATGCTCTCTGTGAACACTGTGCTATGAGGTCACAAGAGAGTCTTTCTACTCTTTTCTTGGTAGCAAAGGCCGCTTCACACGGAAATCGGGGTGCTGTATTGGGAGTGGTGGTTGTCCCGCCTGACATTCGCCGGAGCGACCGGGTCACCGGTGGCGTGTTGGAGTCACCCAATCCTTGCATCACGTACCTGGTGAAGCGAAAAGAAAGTGGGACACCGGTGATTTCGTGGGCTTTCTTGCGATTTGATACTCCTTTTCATGCTCACTCCTGGGCTAGACGGTCCATTTCTGGATCGGGTGAGTTGGGTGAGGTGGGCCCACATCATCCTGCCACCAGAATCTTTTCGATCTCTGACTGGTGCGACTCGTAGGGAATGAGGCAATGAATTTTTTATATATGATAGAGATTCCTACAAAGGAATCCAGCCACCCCCATTTCTTTCGAGTCGTGCGAGTCAGTCGTTACGACTTCGAATCCAGCCAGCTCCAGCTACCCCCCTTCCAGCCGCGTTGGCGCAGCAGATTTGCTCCCCACTCTCCTCTTTCAGACTTGCCACTCTCGCCCCTGAACCACCGAAACCAAGCGCCCTGAAGTTCCAGCGCTTCGACCGGCAGCCGCTCTCCGACCGGGCCGGTGCCGACCTGTTCCTTTCCACCCCTTTGGCCGGTGCCGACCAGGTCCAGCCTGGCGGTCCGCGCCAGCTGCCGCCGGCGGGGCCTGGCGCGCAGGCTGCTGCGGCGCACGGTGCGGAGGGCGAAGAAGCTGCGGTGCCAGGCGAGGGAGTTGCGGTGGACACCGGACCGTGGGGATGAGTGCCGAGTGAGCCAAGTGGATGGTAGGATGTATAGTAGGGGTGGTAGCAGGTGGTATAGACCTGGCCTGGGTAGTGAGGCATGGCCTGGGAGATTGTGTGGATCTTTGGATGGGACGTGGAGAGTTGGCACACGAAGTGATTCTTGAGCATACTGAAGAGAGCCTGGTTTGAGCGTGGATTTTGCGGAAAAACATGGAGACAATCTTAGGAATCTTTGGCTAACCACTAATTAGCTCAAAGCTCCTTGCTTTGGATACCTTTGACTTGCCCGTGGCTGTGGGTGAAGATTCATGCTGTTCGGCTGCCATGACTGCTAGATGTTGGGCGTCATGACGCCCCGGTGTGTCTCATTACCAGTAACAGCCGGCAACAGATTAGCACTTATTTTTACATTTCTTTGTGAAATGCTCTTCACTAAACATCATAGTTCACTGGTGCTGGCAATTAATGGATGATATCCCCAAGTCATGGCCTTGTAATGTCGCACATATCTCTGAGGGAGGTGGCAGGGATTCGCCGGTTCGCACCAGAGAAGGCACAACTCAAGTTTCTTTCTTCATGGCTGGTTTCAATTTGAGCGTTTTTTTTCCACAGAACCTGCCAGAACATCCGAAACGTTCGTATTCTCCAACAGAAAAAATAAGACATTTCTGACCCTGACTTTCACCAGAAACCGTATCCTCTAATTCACATGGCGACCTCTAAATCCCCTCCTAGGCGGTCCAACTGGACGTCTACGAAGACAACGTTCCGGCCACGGATCTTTACCGATCGGTGGGCTTCCGGCGCTTCGGTTGGACACCAGTGGCCCGGCCAGCAGAGCAGGGCAGAGCAGGGCCGAGCAGGTCATGGCGATGACGCGTGACGGACTCACGACAGGGGAAACGCCTGGCGCATTTGAAAGACATCTCAAGTCGCAATAGATGTTTCTATATGTTTCCTGTTCTTTGTTTCTCCTTCCCATGTGTTTCTTTCGCCCACATGCCTCCACCGTTGAAACAAACGTCCGGAGAGTTGGCGACCGGCCGTCGCACCGAAGCCGGGGGGGAAGGGTCTTCGGACGGTTTGCTTGTGTTTTTCTGATTTGGTAGGGCCAAAAGTCTCTAGAGTCTCTAGAGCACAGATGTTGGCCTCTTGGTTTTGTGGGATGAATGAAGTTTTGAAGCTTTGTTGGCGAAAAGCACAGCCCAAATCATTCCATTGGCCTGAAGAAGCTGTTACAGGTTTCCAGGGGCTAGCTGCTGGTGTTTCTGTGAGGTTGTAAACTTGGAGCTGGAAGCGTTGTTGGGGAGAACTTGTGGTCGCTGGCGCTTAAACCTTCTCTCGGAGGCCGGGAGAGACCTTGAAATCCGAAGGAGTGTCACGGGAAACGGGCGGTTTCCATCGAAACTACATCCAGCCGTGCGAACAAACATATATATATATATTTATATATAGCGATGTTTTTTTGTTGTAGCCCACTCAACCGGCTAGCAAAAACAAGTTGGCCTGGCTGTGTTCACTCTCAGTTTCCATTGCTTTATGGATTTTGTTCATGAGAGTCTCATGAAGCCTCGCTCCTTCAGAAACCTCCTGTCAGTCAAAGGAGTTCGTTTTGAATCCATTTCGCACTGACGGAGTCCTTCTTCCCACGCCGAGACTCGCCGCGCCGGCCGCTTCGCCACCCACCCAGGAGATGGATGCGGACTCCGCTCTTGCGGATGCGGAGGCAGCGCCCACGCTGGCGGACTTGGGGGCAGAGCTGAGCAAAAGACTTCTGTACCAGGCCGAAGAGTTGGAAGACGTAAGACGATGAACAGGAGGAAGGCACCTTCTCTTTTTCTGGGCACCAACGAATGCACAGAATGGATGTGTGGGAACCTGCTTTCATGTTCTGCAAAGACATTGGGATTTCGAGCTCATTTTTTCCGGATTTTCCCGAAATTGGATGTCTTAGGGGGTCTTCAAGGGGTCTATGCTAAAACTCTTTGGGGTCTCTAATTTATTCACTTGTTCCGTGAGGCCTTGGGACGGATTGACCAAGGCTCAGCTCCAATCCTGAGAGGTGCAGGGGATCATATTCTTCCCACTGCAGGGATGGTCGACCTTGGATGACGGGTCCCGCCGAATGCCTTGGCTGCCTGAAAAACGCCACCCGGGCTGCCTGGGGCCCCGGAGGCCCCGGAGTCCAAGGCTGAAACACGAAACAAAAGCAAAGAGATAGGACTCATCCGTCCTTCAGTCAAGGGATACCAAGGGCACAAGACCATCTATCCAGGTCCACCCAAGTCTGCCCAATGTGGATCAACGGAAGTCGATCTCTTCACGTCGACCGGCCAGGTGTTCCTTGGGATGGTTCTCTCGTCACTCTTCCAAGCAGCTTTTGGACAAGGCCCCGAAGCCAAAGCCAAAAGCATTAATGTACAAACTTCCAGGGACAGTGACCATGTCTGCCACACTTCATGGGACTCAGCTGCCTGTTTTTAACGGCTCACCCTGCCTTTCCCACAGAAGTTCTTGATGTTTATTCCAGAGGAAGAACGATCCAACGAAGGGAGTTCGCAAATTGAGAGGAGATTGGCATCATTGGAGAGTGTCTTCCCAACTTGGTCAGGTTGAAGGTCAAGTTGATCTTGGTGCGCAGGCCCGAATTGGCTCTTCAGTTTCTTGTATCACGGGGTTTCAGTTAATTAGCCGCTCATCAGACGGAGTGTGGAAGGAACCCTAGGCCCCATGTGATGCATTTCAAGATACACGCCTCGTTTGCGGTCCCAACTGGAAGGTGTGTGCCTCAGATTACGAGCCAGACATTGATGATATGCGAAAGCAAGTGCGCATAAAGTAGCAAGCGTTTTGCTTCTTCGTCTCTCTACCTTTGTGTTGCAACCAGCTTTGCGTGTGCTTTCTTAAAGCTTTGACCACCCCATACTACTAAGCCGACCGCCCCGATCGCGCAGCTCAAAACGGGGCGACCGCGGTCTATGAGATACAAGAACCGATGAAGAAAAGCACTTGATTGTGGGCCCAGACGGGGGCACGAAGAGGACGCCTGGACCCGCAGCTCGCTGCGGCACGAAGAGCGCTGAATCACGAGACATCTGGTGGCGAGAGCATCGTCGATTTCATTCCTTCACGAAAGGCAGAGCGTCAGAGAGATGTCAGAGAGAGAGAGAGCAGAAGACGAGACGACTAGGTTCAGAGCCAGAAACTTCTTGTTTTTCAATCTAACTTGCCATGGCAAAGAAGCGCCGCGCACAGTTTGCCGATTTCAGAGATCTCAAAGATCAACACCAAAATCTCTTCGGCTTGTTGGTGCATCTGGCACAGTGCTTCCCTCAGCTACCCAAAAATCATTGGGGCCAGGCATGGCGGCATGGCCACAGGTAGTGCGATACATTCAATTCTGGACCTTGATCCATGCTCATTAGCATTCTCATATTATCATCCACTAGCATCATCGTTTCTGTCGTGTTTGATTTTTGCTTTCATTGCTTTTGGAGTTGGAGTCTTGGCGATGTCGTCAGATGTTTCCCAGCACATCGCGGCAATTTTTTTGGAAGCGTGACGTGGAGCCCGAATTTCTCCACGAGGTGCAAGCTCCAAGAAGAAAAGGGAGAGGACCCTACGCACAAAGAATGGAAAGGGCAGTTCAAAATGCCAAGAAATCATCTTGTTCTTGACATGTTGAATCGCTCTTTTCCATTCTTTGGGGCTCAACATTCAAAACTCTGGAGAAACTGTTTAACGAGGCCCAAGAGAGCAAGGCGAAACGAGTGAAACGAATCAAGAGTTGAGCTCGGTGTTTCGCTTGACGTTGCCTTTCCAAGAGTTTCACGGCTTTGGAAAACAGTGACCGTGCCAGCTTATTGTGAGTGCCGCATTCTCCGAAAGATGTTGCGCTTGCCTTCCACCGAAACATCTTTTCCAAACTCGGCCTTGACACACCTCCTTTTGATGGTCCAAAGTCTGGATGAGTGATGATGAGTGTAAGATACTGCAAGAGGATCTGGCGAAAAGCCTTGTGACCTTGGAAGCAAGGGGGTCCCGCGCGGCGCCAGGCGAGCCTCCGCAGGATGCTCATGCTCCACTGCGCGGGCTTCGTGCTGGAAATCATCGGGAGTTCTCCACAGAAAGCCATCGGGGACGTGCTGGTGATCCGCATGTGGGGACGGGATGGGACGGGTCTTTGAGTCTTTGAGCCTTCCGTTCATTGAAGCTTTGATGGTTGACGTCCCAGGAAAATCCCAGAAAGGTTTTCTCTCTAAAATGCCTCGTAGAGCGTCCAAGACCCCAATTCACCAGGTACGATATGTATAGATTGTTTGCCAAACCTCATAGGCTCCTGATGGAAGTGGTATGATTGTGTGTTTGTGTTTGTGTTTGTGTGTGTAGAGGATTGTAGAGGGGTACAGGCAGGGTCGAAGCTCACAAGCTTGATGAACGTTGGACCAGAAATAAACCTTGTCATGGAAGCCCTTGGCCAGAAGGCCCGCGCTTCATGAATGGAACTTACTGTATGTAAACGCAACATGTCTGAGCCTGTGACCTTAATTTTCATTGATGTGAAAGGACCTGGTTCCAAGGTTCCGCTTGGAACGGATGCCACAGGTCATGGCGGTCATGACTTTCATACTCTGTCTGCCAGGGTGAAGATGCCTTCCTCAACCTTGGTCCTTCCGCGCGGCCATGGGGAGCATCACCCCCGCAATGAAAGCAGAAGGAGGCCCCGTTTTCCGCCACGGCATGTGGCCAAGCGGGCGCGGCCGCGCATGCGGCCGCATGCTGGAAGTGGTCACTACAAGATTCAGAAATCATCAGTTGGATGTCGTGAAACAATGCTGCCGGCACACCAAGACTTTCCCAACGAACCAAGAAGCGCATAGTAGCTACCGTGGAGGGGAGGTTTTGTCTCAGACCATTCGGGGATTGGTGTTGCCTACTGAGAGTGGTGCCTCACATGCCAGGATTTCGGGCTCGTGAAGTGCAGAAGCATCCGCCGTCCAGGGACATTTGGCCCGATCTCGAGATCGGGCTTGCGTGGACCAAAAGCCGGTGGGGGCCTTCGGATTGAAGCAGGGGGCCGAATTGCGAGGTAGGGACCGGTGACCTCACACCATGGGTTGAAGGACCACTTTGCACCTCAAATTCGATGTGCAAGTTTTGAGATGGGAGAACCGACTCGTTCGGCGCACAGTTGTGATGAGATGGGATTTCTTCATCCGAACCCACGCTCCTTCGGCGAGAGGGTAGAGATCGCGGCCTTTCGTTCGATCCAAACCTGGAGACCGAAACCAGGCGTTCCGACCCCCTGAACGGTTCGGACAACAGACCAGTCTACCGAGTGCCAGGTCTGAACATACACATCAAAGAAGGTATCCTTTAGTAGTGACCTTCTCTTCATTTGGTGGTCATACCGGAGCCATCATCCCCACCACACCACCGGACATTCGATCACGACGTCCCGCGGTGCCGCGGCGGGGCCGCGGCTCGGTTGGGGGCGAAGCTCTGCCGGCCTTGGCTCTTCGTTTTGGGCTCCGAGGCACAGCCATGACATGAAAAGAGCCATGAAACGATGAAACAGAACGTGCGCCGAGTAGATGAGCACCTGCCTGTATGAGGTCCAACGGGAGCTGCCTAACACTAACCCCTTGCAACAGGGAGCTACGGTAAGCCCACTAACTGGATGCAGTGCGCGTCCAGCGCGAACAGAAAAGTGAAGAAGTGAAGTGGCTGATGACCGCATGTAACACCGTTCATTAGCTGCTAGTTTCAGAGTGGGCTGACTGCAGCGCAGCAAGCTGTTCCCATGAAGCGCCTTTTCCTGCAGCGAGAGGGCAATGTTCCAGATTTCGGCCACCTTCCACGGATTGTTCTTCTTCGTAGGGGGTCTTGCTTGTTTGACTCAAATGGATGGACAGGAATTCGAACCACGCAGCGAGAGTCACTTGGAGTGACGGGTGGTTTGCGTCGTCCCATCCAGGGGCCGTGGGGATGTGGGCTTCCTTCCGACTTCCTCCGCGCACGAAGGTTCGTGAGCTCCGTGACTGGTCACAGACATTTCGTTGCTGGTCGACCAACATCATTTTTCATGTGAAGTTTGTGTTGGTCGACTGGCTGAGGCGTATGTTTGAGCTATTGCTCTACGGGATGGTCCAGCACACAGTCAGGGCCGATTGTCCGGAGGACTGTCCAGCACGATGCCCCCAGCAGCTTGAGGCACGGATTGGAGAGGGTGCAACATGTTCGGAGATGCTGTTTGTAAGACATACCACGCAGGGACGTGTTTCTGACACATGCCACTTCAGTGCATTGTTTGGTATACCTAGTCCTGCGTCAATTCATTTAGTTGTGACCTATTCCAGACGCGATTTTGCCCGCCTGGAGAGATGGAATCTGTGTATCTCCAGTTCTTCCATGGTGCACGTCACGTCCGACCGGTGCACGCCAGGTGCAATCCGACTTTGCACCTCGGCCCGCCCCGTCCGCACCAATCGATGATCGCGGAGGGTGGGTGGGGTGCGGACGATCGACGGAGAACGGAGGTGGCGTCGACGTGCAGCTCCTCCATGTGATTTTTGAGGAATGGGCACCTGAGGTCTTGGCCTGGTGGTCGGTGATCTTGAACCACCAACTTCTAGTGGTTGTTTGACGATTCTTTCACCGTGGTCTGTTTGAAGGCCGCAGGAGCTAGTGACTCCAGAGTGTGAAGAAGCCACTGAGACGTAGATTTGAATCTGGACGGGGGTCTTGCCTCTACCTTCGTGCACGCCCCTCACAAGTTGCTTCTTATCGAAGGTCAAGACGCAGTTTGACATCAAGCAGTTCTGGGGTGTGTATCTTGGCCTTCAGCGCCAGGGCTTTGGATTATACAAAGGAGTAGTAGTAGTAGTAGTAGTAGTAGTAGTAGTAGTAGTAGTAGTAGTAGTAGTAGCAGGAGGAGTAGTAGTAGTAGTAGTAGTAGTAGTAGGAGTAGCAGTAGCAGTAGCAGTAGCAGCAGTAGCAGTAGCAGTAGCACTAGCAGGAGCAGGAGCAGTAGCAGTAGCAGTAGCAGTAGCAGTAGTCGTTGTGGTGGTGCTAGTCGTAGTCGTAGTTGTATTGGTAGTGGTAGTATAGTAGATTAAGGGCCTTCACTCCCTCCATGCCTCCTCTTTCCTTTTGCATCACTTGGCTTGGCATCTCCCGCATGTGCAGACCACATCATCGATGAGTGTTGATTCGGTGAACCTTCCCCCTTCCAGGACCATCCTGGGACCAGGTGTATACAGGGATTCGCAGGCACGACACCCAAACAGGATGGTCCTGGTCTACATTCCCTTAACATCCCTCAACTCATCAACTGATCATGGAATTGGATGGCATGGTCCCTTCCAGTTTCCCTCTCCAAACAGGATCAAACAGGTGTTTTTTCACTTCGAGTGATTCTGAGTGGCTTTCATTCCAAAGGTACTGGGGAGCAAAATTAGAGACTCGCCTGGACGAGGTACTACGAGATCGCCTATCACGACAGCACGCAGCCACGGCGCTGGCCGATTCGCGCGTCCTGCCAGCGTTCGGTGAAGTCTCAGCATCCTGGAGATCCAAAGAACTACAAGGAGATCCAGAAGCGATAGGGGATGGACTGAAATCCAGAAGCTGATTTGAAGGTGGTGAGATCAGCAGGTGTCAAGGTCTCGCGCGCAGGACTTGTTCTCGCTGAATGTGGGCTTTGGACGCGGTGTCAATGCTGTGTGCGATTTGGAGTTCAACCTCACGGACCATCCGGGCGTCTTTCTGGGCCACTGGCCACTGGGCGAATGGGCGAGCGGGTGGTCAAAGAGCGGGTGGTCCGTCGGCGGTGCGGAAAGCTGGGTCTTGGGGACTAAAGAATCTGATTTGGGTCCGGAAAGAGATGCTTCGACAGAGACAGCAGCAAAACTACTGCGACACGGAAGCATCATGAAAGAAGGAAACACAGTCCGACACACAGACGTGGCTTCGTCTTAGCGAGACTTTCTTTCGGGAAACCACACGCCTTTGCTCCGACGTCTCCTTCGCAACGTCGAGGCGTGAGACGCACGTTGGGCCAAAGGGGTCGGTGTCAGTCGGGTCGCATTCGTTGGATGCACCGAAGGTCGATGCTTTTCGGAGTGATGTTTTTGTTAGGAGTGTTTTCCATTTGACCCGCGAGGTTGGCACAAGACCCACGGTCTGGTTGAACTGTTGCACAACAGGACAGGGTCGAGACTTGAAGTACTTTTTCGGGGTTTATGGTGCTCGTGCCATCACATTCACCAGGCTTGAAGACTTAAGACACCAGGCTTGAAGACCTAAGTGGATCTCAACAAAGAGAGGAGCAATCCTAGATGTGGCGATGCACCATCCCCCGAGCTGGAACCGTCGCAGGGCTCGAAGAAGAAAAAACACCACCAACACGGACCTCTCCACGTGAAGTCCAAAGCCAATGAGGACAATCCAAGGCATCCAGCTGTGCATCCAGCTGGGCATCCAGCTGCTTGGAGCTTTGCTGTCTTCTTTTTAAGACTCCCGTGTCTTCATCAGAGCCTTCCGTTTCTTTCCATGAGGTCAGGCCACTCGATCTTCAACCCCAACTTGACCGATGCCCGGTCAGATGGGAGACAGACAACACGGGCGGACTCGATCCTGCGGGAGGTCGGAACCCCCCCCCCCCCAAGCAAGGTCTGGGTGGACCCAAGAGAGGTTGAACAGCCTAACTTATAGCCCATCCCATACGTACCACTATGGGGGTCCTATAAGGTCTCTCAACCTCTCTTGGACTCTAGATGTTCCGGTGGACTTGAGGAGTTGGTTATCCTGTTCGACCCGACTCCCAGACCTACCTGTGCGAAGAGAACGGAGAGACATGGGGGGCGAGTCACAGCGTTGTCTGATCGTCTTCATTCACCTTCGTTCGCCATGAATCATGGCCTCCATCTTTCCAAGTTCGTCCATTGTTGACTCCAGCATTCTGGGCTGCGTCAACGTTGCCTCAAGGTCTGGGGACTCGCTAGGCGGACTTTCGGACTCTTGCGGCTTTGATCACGAAAGGTAGCCTTAGGCTACCTGAGCTTTTCTGGCCTTAGCAAAAACGCCGTTGGGGTCAGAGACCTGATCCCAGTGACTGAACGGGATGTGATTGTGATCGAAGCTGCTTTCCGAGGTCCATAGATTTGGAGGTAGATCCGCGCTGGTCACTTGGTCGGTGCTTTTGTGTATTTTCTTTTTCTTCTGCCGATCAGCTGAGGACATCCACAACACCGTGGTTGATGTTGGAGTGGCTGCCAATGGAACCTACAACTGGACTTTGGAGTTTCAGTGCAAGCACCTCAGTTGAAATTGCGACCATCGGACTGTGTCAATGTAGATCATGTAGGCATACGGTGCACAGTATCCTCCTAAGATGCCGCATAGGGGTTTGGACCCAAACACCTCGCTTCAGCGGTCCAACGGATCGCTTTTCAGCGATGCTGACCCGACCCGCTGGACCACGAGACCTGACCCGCAGGACCCGCAGGACCCGCGGCCCAATCAGATTTGTAACATCGTTTTGTGGACACCGAAGCTCCCGACCATGTGATGGGACTAGAAAACACCAAGGGACCCAAGCATCGAAGACAAGATGGCATTTGTCCCAGATGCTTTTTGCTGTCCTCAAGCTTCTCAACTTATCTATCAACCTCTCATGGTGAAAGACTTTTCCACAAGGAACGCGGAGGAGTCCAAGGGCATTCGCTTTGCTGCCGTGAACTTCTACCATCGAAAACCACAGATCGACGCGGAAGAGCCACCTGGATGGCAGAAAAAAACTCCTTGGAGGGAGTCTGCCGAACCTTGTCGTGAGACTTATCAATAGAAGAATGGATTCCTATCAAAACATTGATCGCCCGGCCCGCGGAGTCGTGGTTGATGTTTCCCTTTTCTTCGGTCTTTGGGCGGACTTGGAATCAGGAAGGTTTGGTCACAGAATTTCGACCAAGCACCACCCTGGTGCTTGGTCAACAAAGCGGACTTCGAAACCATGTCCCAAGTTCCCGGCTTTTGAGACATGTTTCAGTCAACATCCCGTGTCAAGAAGGTGTGAAACAAGGCTTGGGAGGAACGATCTGACTGTTGGGTTAGAGAAAAGTGACCTGTGTTTCGAACCATTTGGCAGGCTTATCTCAGAACAGATTTGAGATCAAACTCAACATTTGGGAAAGCCTGCAGGTGTTTCCAAGCTCCAGATGTGTTTCTCATCCTGCTAGAATGGGCTTCATGAACCGCAAACACCACATCACAGTGCCTGATGCATCAGTTTGCGTGCCGGTTATCACACTGTTTGGTGACTCTACAATGGAGATACCTACGGCAGTATCTGCAGAGAGGGAGGGGAATGCTGCCAGGCTTTGTGTACCGAAAATTCCATTTGGATACACTCCTCCAGAGGGTGACCATTTCTGCTTGAGGTTCCAGCTCATGATGAGCCGGTTGCGCCTCTTGGCGGTACAGACCACCCCAATGGATCACGAAACACCCAGTGCCAGGTGTTTGATCTGACGTTATTCGCTTCTGGAACACATGGTGAACAGGTGGAGCTTGGCTCCGCTTTTCGAACATTTGGGCGATTTGTGAGTCGTCATTTCCAAACTAGTGCATTCCGTCTTCCCCACCCAGAAAAACAATCAAAACCCATGATTTCTCCATAGCCTTCCACGAGAGGTTCATCACGAGAGGTTTGGCACATGAAAAATGGAAGGAACCACGCCACCTCTTTCAGAGTGCTGTTCGAAGGCCACCTCCAGGTGCTGATTTTTCCAGGTCTGGAGGTTCTTCTTTTCTCTTCCTCCGAGGCGCGCGAGGCCTTGGCTGGGTGGTGGACGCGTCTCCTGGGCTGACCTTCGTAGATCAACAGACGCTGGAGCTGAACCAAAAGCGACGAGGGACGCCGGTCGACCCACGAGCGCTGACTTGTCGACCTTGGGGAGTTGAGTGTTGTCCGTTTAGAAGCACTGACACTGTGGAAGCGTTTTGGACCGAAGGGAGAGTCGGAAGTTCTTCATTTTGAGTGAGTTTAAACTTGGACTTTCAAGAGCTACCTAGAACCTGAATGACTCCTATTTTGGATCACCAACCACCTAAAATATGGTCAAACTTCCTATCAAAACAGAGGTCAAACGGGTTCCAGGTGATAGACAGAAGATAGACAAAAGCCGTCCAGTGCGGAGAAGAGTAATCTCGCCTCAGTACTCGAGTTCCGAAGCACGAGGCGATGACGGGCCTTTTCAGCGGCCGGCCGAAAAAGAAGGTCACCGGCTTTTCTTTTGATTATAGTGGTCCTCAAATAGATCGTGGCATGGTTTCCAATACATTTTGAAAGAGATTGTGCTTTTCTATCTATTTGGGGGTCCATATACTATACTGTAATTTGCAAACAACCATTCCACTTTTGCCGCTCAGGTGGTGCAGTTTTCGTTGCACCATGCGAAACCAACCTCCGTCTGCGTGGTATTTGTAAGATGTCTTGTGAGGACTTCACCAAATTTTTGTCATTCCCACATTCCGCCATCGATTGAGCACGAGGAAATGCATTGACCACGACTCCTATCCATCACTGACAGCCAAGCCTGCACTTTGCGGGCAAGGTGCTCTACAGGAGGGGCAACTTGCAGGGGAGGAAAACTACTGAACGTGTTCACTGGCTTTGGAACTGGTAGTGGAAAGTCTAGCCACTTTTTGTATATGTTGTTTTGGTTTGCAGGGGAGTTTACCCCCCAATCCGCCAACATACATTGAGCCCTTTCTTTGAGCCCCACTGCACCTGGGCTGGGGTGGTGGAATGCTCATGACGACAAGAGTTCATCGGCGCAACGAGTAACAATGAGTTCATGGTGCCACGTGACATGGCAGAACTGGTGGGTACTGAGTACGGTAAAGGAATCTTGCATTGAAGCAATTTTTGTTTGTGACACAGGGCACCAGTTCGTCAAAGTGACATGACATTTTTGCCCGTTTCTGCTGGCAACTCCGCAGTGACCTGTCGAGGAGGTGATGGTTTAGCCAAAGCACTCAGCAAGCGCCTCCAATTGACCAACATCAGCCAGGCCTTCCTCGTCTTGGGGCGTTGGGGCGAGTGTACAAATCGAATAGAAAGCATTGAAAGCATGTGGATGATTCAACCAGGGGCTCGTCTCACGGAGAACATGCCCGGTCCCTCCAAACACACCCGACATCGGGCGAAAGGAACCGGTCATGATTGTGATGCAGTTGTCGAGCCCGGTCTCCGGTTTCTTTGGGTGAATTAATGGAAGTGCGCGAAACAACAGCCCTTCCTTTAAATGATGAAATCCCGAATCCCGAAGTGAAGAACTTCTCAAGTCTAATAGACTAGGTTTCGATTCAGCAATGACTCATCACACTAGAGTTCTAGACGTGTCAAGGTACCTGTAGCGAAGTCATCCACATGTACCAGCGCAGATGGCTGCCAAATTCTGGCCACATGTGCAATGTTCAGTAGCCTGTCTGTAGACTTGCTCAAGTCTGACACACACAGAATCAGACTGCCCGCAAATGTACAAAGACACCGCGGAGAGCATGTCTGAATGTGAAGGACAGTTGGTATGGCAGCTTTGCTGATATCCAAAAAAGAAGCCATGCACTTCTTGACGGACTTCTCAGCAGATCCATTTGATTTGCGTCCAACGCCCCCGGGTCCCGGCAAATGTTTATTGGTCGACGAAAGGCTCTCTGCCCAGAAAAAGGCCGGGCATTTGAAGCATCGAAACCTCAAAGCCCTTGGGAGTTGTCTTTGAGCTCACTTTCGGCCGGATTTGGGCTCACAGCGATCGTCGTTTGCCAACCCAAAGTGACTGCCGCGCCGGCTTGGCCGGCGCGAGATGGGATCTCAGTTTTTCCCTTATCGTTCTTTGTCCCGAAGTTTGGTGCCAGCAACCAGACCGAGCAATCTCCGATTCCAGCAGCATCGCAGAGCATCCTCATCTTCCAGACCTCCAAAATCTGCATCATCTGCTTCTGATTCCTCCCATGGCTGTGACCGGCATGTTCAGCCTTTGGGCCGTGGTGCCATTGGTCTGGGCCGCCAGGCTTCAGGAGACCTCCCAGGCTGGAGCGCGCTGGTTTTTGGGAGGAGTTTGTTCACGTTTGGTGGTCAACTTGGGTCATCGTGGTCTTGACCCGGAGCTAAAGGTTTTACTGGCCGGTGGTGGTTGTCTGATTGACACCTCAGTCGAAATCGAGAGAACTTGAGAGTGAAAAGGTGGACTTTGGATGCTCTGTGGTGAACGGATTTCAAATTTCAATTGAGAAGAACATTTCTGTTTGCTGGAACTTTTTCAACGGCAGTATCAACAGTGGTACAATCAAACATGCCCAATCCATGTGGAGAGACGTGTGTGCTGGACCCAACATCCGTCTCCAGCTCTTCATCTCCAGTCCTCTCAGGCACGCGCGGGCCGTTGTTGCTGTCGGCGAGCGGCCAGCCCCGAACCGTTTTTTCGACGGGGCTAATTCCGCGGAGACCCGGTGGGTGGGGAGAAGACCCGGTGGGTGGTGCAGCAGATGTATTTGTTCGGAATTTCTGGGGGGTGCAATGATAATGATGTGGGTTTGCTGGAGCTCCCTACTTCTTATGTATTCTTGGTTTTGGCCTGGATGTCTTGCATAGGTCAGCAGCACACCAGCATGCGGTGATTCCAACCTATATGACATGTTGATGTGACCTTGGATCATCAGCCTTACCCAGTCTTCAAAAGCACAGTGACTTCGAATGAGCAGTCCTCGGTAGGAAGCCTACGGTCCCACTGATAGTGGACCTTTGTACGGGCATGTATGTCAAATTGACACAAGCTCATACACACACACACACATTCTTTTCAACAAGAGTCAATGACATGCTGGATGTCCAGGTGGAGTGAGTGTCCTGTGATTATGCAGCTGTAGGATCTGGTTTTCTGATGAAATCATTGAATTTCTTGAATCCAATCCGTTTGTGCTGTGAAACTTGACGTTTCCACGTCGGGGTCCTGTCCAGTCACGCAGTGACCCAAGGTGCCAGATGAACTTGGTGTCGATGTTCTAACTTGCCAGCACTTTGACCGGAAGGAGAGCGCCCCGCATCGCCCACCCCCCATGCATCTAAAACCGCGAGACTTCTAACTGCGCCGATGCTGCCACAAGAGATACCTTCTCAGCCGGGCCAAATCTGGCAATCAAGTGTGGTGCACTTTGTGGTACTGTTGATTCATGGACAAAATCTTGCACCATCTCACTACTTTACCCTCTTCCAGGGTCGCATAGCAGCCCCCGTGCCCCTCAGTCGTTGGCGCGACCCTGAGGAGGTGGTCCAGGACTTTGGACTTTCAACTTGTTTTACTTTTCTCACTGTGGTGGCCCCAATGTTTTGGAGAACGAGGGCAGCAAGAAAACGGTGCGCAAAGTGGTGCAGGATTTTGTCCATCAACAGTATCATCATGGGAAGTGGACCATTTGTTGTTTGGTATTGGGACATCCCTGGAGTATACCTGTAAGAGATACAAAGAAGCCAACAGTTGTTGCTTTCGGGAGCCCTTTTCACCAGTGCTCCCGAGCGACCTTCACGCGCCTTCGCCGGGCCCTCTCCGGAACGAAGCCACTTCTTCGTGGCGACTTGGCAGATGTAGATGCTTGACGATGTGGCGGTTTTGGGTCACTTGATCATCCAAGGTAGCTCATGTAGCCTCCCAAAGTGTCATGGCGGAAAGATGGAGGAGCACAGAGTCATTGGCGAAGCCTAGCGGCCCGACCCAACATTTTGGCTGATCTCGGTGTGCCACAGGGGGCTGCCCTGCAGGGTTCTCTCTCTCTCTCTTGTGCCCTGCTGAACCTTAGGCACACCCTGGGTGAATCAAGGATACACCAAACACCTGGGTGAATCTTCCGACCCTTCCGTTCATGCAACCCGCACGCCGCGACGCAGCTCGCTGCAGGACCTCAGCTTCGCGGGCTTGGCCTGCCCTGTGACCTGGCGAAGGGACATGGCCCAGAGCCGCATGCGACGGTCCAACACATCGAGAGCCGGTTGGTTGGACCCGACTGGGTCACGAAGGAGCTTTAGGGTTCAAGTGGTTTATATACTATGTCTTACTCACTCTAGGATCAGTGGTTTTTCATGCAGGATGTTGGGTTTATTGTTTTTGTTTTTATCCTTTTTCTTTTGGTACCATGGTGTCATGTTTGTGTCATGTGTATACTGTATACCTGTGTGGGCAAGAGTTGCTGCAACTATGTCCCACACTGCGAGAGCAGTTGAAGCGGACGACCACCACGACATGACCTACTGGTAGGATCAGTATATCTATGACCATCCAAGATCTCTGGAGACCTCAAGAAGCTTGATGGGACTGATGGGTGTAGAAAACTCTCCCTCCATTTTTGGGCTCCCCAGTGTGGTGAGAGTGTCTGAGGTGTCTGGTTCATCAGGTGAGCCGTCCGGGGTGTCCGGGTTTGGGGTGTCAAGAGTGTCTGACTGGCCCGGTTGGGTGCGAAACTCCCACAAGAAGACCATGGAACTCGGTGTGGGTGGGGAGTACGCATTCATCTTACAAGTTTACAAGCAGAACTCTGGAGGCCAACTCCACCCTGCCGGGGGATAGAGGATAGTTCATAGTGTATTGAATACGAAACGAGCAGCCCTGAAGCTCCGAAACGACTCTCAGCCTTTTGGTTGCAGCCCTTTCCTCCCTATCCTGACAACGTCCCCCGCTTTGCTGCTTTGTTACTTTGGTTGAGTAGGTGCCTTCCTTCCTTTCTTCTTTTTCCTGCGTTCTGTCTCACTCCTGAGCTTCCTAAGGGCGATTGGCTTGGCTCCGAGGGCTTTCTGCCGAAGGGCGCGGCCACGGAGCACTGCCACCTCTCCTGGCGCTTGGGCGCCGCGCCCGCGCGCGTGGCCGGCCCCACTGCGCGGTGTACGGACGGCCAAACGGTGGACGTGCGAACCAAGCAGAATGGGCGGATGAAGGCGGGAAACTGAGCGGAGAGAATTTTTTGGGTTCAAAAGCGACTTCTGGGTACATTTTTCTTTTTTGTAGATTTGTTTTGAACTTGTAGGTTTGGCCGTCTGGAAGACGCGTAGCCGCTGTGGCCTTGCAGGATTTGTGTCGATCTACTTTTGGAACTTGGTTTTCCCAGCAAACATGTAGATTAGAGATGTGCAGACAAAAAGCACACAACACATATTGTTGTGGACAACTGTTGTTGTGGCCATGTGCACTTCTGTAATGTAGGTAAAAAACATTCTTTTTCCGTCGCGCGAACAGGCATGATTAAGTTTCTTGAGGCTGGACGTGCTGGATTGCCGCAACTCGCGTGGCACTCAAAACAACCTCTGTTCATAGCAACAGATTTTGGTATGAATGTTTAACCGCAAATTCTTTCTAAATTTCTATATGTATGAGTCATTTAAAGCTCTGTTTCAGTTTCCTGAAGGTCAAGTGACTTCACAACACTACCTGAAGCGTGGCCATGGTGATTCAACACCTGAAGAGCAAGAAATCAACACCAAAATGATCGTTTCGTCCGTGTCGTGTGCGCATGCCGTGGTTGGGCCGTTGGGTGACGTTCCGCGTCAGCGGGTGACGAGTCACCCCAGGGACTCGGACGGCTGATGCGATGAAAGGACGACTGTAAGCGTCTCAGCAACTAGCGGTTCGCAGTGAACCGCTCTGCGTCTCTGCCAAGAATGGTTGAACCAATTGATCGGATTTTATGAGAGGAAGACGAAGCTCCGATCCATTTGGGTCCAAAGCCACTCCCAACGAGCCCTGTTGATTTGCCCCGCGGTCCGTCCCTCCGTCCGGCCGAAACGCCACGACCGGTGGGGGGCCGTAGGGGGCCGTGCTGAACACGAAGAACCTCTACGTGGCGAGCTTTTGGTCGGTGCCCTATGCCGCGGGGGCGGGCAGGCGGGGAAGCGGAGGGCGGCATGGAGGGGAGTTGAGGAGAAAGGAGAAGGCTGAGAAGGCCAAAGGAATTGAGTTTTTGCAAGCTGCTTCAGTGATCTTCAGTGCATGTTGTGGTTTGGTGTGTGCATTCTTTTTTCAAAACTCCGGGGGAGCTTTATCGTATTGTTGGTGAAATGTATTCTACTACACTATAACTAGGTCCTACAGATAAAGATGGATCTGCTTTCATCCACCAGGATGGACTGCAGCACTCTACAGTTGGTGTCACCTCTGTTGGTGGCTTCCATGCACACATTCAACGGACATGCTTGACATGGCTTTGTCCCGCTGACCGCGCCCCGAAAATCGCCCCGGGCAAGGTGGCAAGCCGCGGGTCGACGGAAATGGTAATGTATCCAGTGGGGAAGCTTCGCCCTAGCTGGTACTGCCCTAACTGAAGCCCCGGAAGCCAATTCCAGCCGTGGGGAGTCGCTGTTGTCATTCCGGCAGAACGGGGTGTTATATCAGTTATATAGCAGTCCCAAAGGTCCCCAAGGTCCTATAGGTTGTTATTCCTATAGGTTGGGGCAGTATGGTCCCCTATAGATCCTACAGGGTTAAGTTGATCTTCGCCCGACGCAGTTCTCGTGAAGCCCTTCGGACTGGCGTCGCGTTCTCTTCAGCACTCCCTCTCGACCATTCTCGACGCAGGTGGTCGCATGCGCGGCCCCTGGAAGCTTTCCCGGATCCACAGGCGCCAGCAGCGGCTTGGAGGCACGAAAGGAGCAGCAGAGGGTTCCTCTATTGAAAGCACGACGGCGGATCGGGCACGGTGCGGAGCATGGAACAGTAGGGTGTTTGACCTCTGACCCTGCGACCTTCCCCCAGTCCAGGACCTCCAAGGCTTCTGAAATACATCCAGAACCATCTAATGAATCTAATGGTTCATGATCCACACTCCGACCCCCTTGGACCCTTAGATGAGCCATTTTCTTCTAGAAACAGGGGGGGCTTTCCACTTCCATGTTAGTGAGTTGGAGAGTAATCCAACGTTGCTTTCCAAAACAGATATCAGAGGACACGAGGTCAATAGGCAGTTCGCTGGTTGTTTTGGAGCAGATGTGCCCCTTTTTGCTCAGAAGACATATATGTCTATATCTCTTCTTTTTCTCGTTACAAAGGGTTTTCTAGGCGTTTTATGCAAACTATCTAACATCCTGGTCGAATTGGTCTCATCTCCGGCACGCACCAAAACGGCCCTCACAGATACGGTCGGTGGGTTGGAAAACCCCCGGCCTGCCCTGGACGAGCAAGTCAACCAGAAAAATTCCCGTGCCCCTTCATGCACTGACACGGCTGACTTGTACTCATTCTTTCCTCTTTCGCGTTCGGGTCTTTGCATGACCAAGGCTGACCATTGCTCTGAGAAATTTCTACAGCAGCTGCGCCCAGGTTTGGGTCTCCGGGTGAGGGTCTGGTGGGCGTTACACGAGATCAACAAGACAGGATGTTCCCATGTACCCCAAGTGACAATGGTTCTTTACTTGTCAGCTATATATTGGCATTGGCATCCTCACAATTCAAGAGTATTTTTATTGGAGCTTCATGAACATGTTAGCAAGGTGCACCGAGGCCACATTTCTGCGATTTGTTGGACTGGAGCCCAGGCATTCGACCGATTCGTTTTATTTTTGTTTCTATTTTTAAAGTGTTTGCACGGATCACTGATCACAAGAATGTGTTGTTTCCCCTGCATCAAGCCAGAGGCGCTGGTTTGGGCCAAACAATGCGAGAAAGCTGGTCTAGTCTTCGACCAACATTCGACTATTCTCATACCAAAAAGCACCAGCCATTGGGCGAATAGGTGTCCTAATAAACAGAACATCATAGAACATTGATTTTAAGTACGGAAGAAGTACCTTCAACCCGCTCCCATCCGCACCGGGCAGAAGCCGCACAGCATGGCAGCCATTGCTTCCAATGGCTACCAGCCCTTGGACGCTTCGGGGTAGAGAGCTGCCTCACCTTGGATGTGTCTATTGGCTGCAAGTGTGGTGATCAAATGAGAATAGGTCAAAACCTTGACTCGCCCAGTAGGTCCCACAGCCAAATCACTTGGCATCTCTCGTCTCCCTTCGACGAGATGTTCGCGGAATCCAAGATGTAGGTATCCAGACCTGCACATGTCCACAGGGCATTCACTGTTCTTAGCTGTACATCTGGTTTTGCTTGTAATTAGGGCGATTTTCTTTTGTTCGTCATGGCTGATTCCCTTCTGGGGAATGCTTATACTTTTCCCGGTTACTTCAGCAAATCCAAGTACAGGTCGTCACCTCACCCAATGCGTTTCCATGTGCCAAAGCGTCGGAGTGAGGTACACGCCTGCAGTGGTCAAAGTGCCAGGCGTGAGCAGACGGCTTGACGCGGACATGATGCGGAAACAGCTCCTCGAAACTCTCGGCGAACCAATCCCAAGTGGTTGTGAAACATAGTCACACATTTGACTGGGATTATAGACATATAGGTATGTAGGTATATGTATAATATACACCCAGGCTAGCACTTCGTCCTGCCTTCTGTTTCGCGGGGGAATCTCGGAGGATACACATCCAAGAAAAGGCCCTAGTCTGTTGAGGATCTTCCTGCTGAGATGTTCGGCTTTGAGTCTCTTGCGTTTCCACATGCTCAGCAGTGCTCATGTTTGTGGAACGTTCATCGGGAGCATGTGGTGTTTGATCCACACACTCATGTAGCCCTGGAAGCCGGGACAACCAGAAAGACATGGAGGTTTCCCCACTCCCAGTCACTTCCTATGTAAAGGATCTCAAGCTGGCACCATATTGGAACAATCATTTGTTTCTGGTTGGGGCTGGGTGAAACCAGGGCTGCGACCCATGTGACCGACTGGTCGTCCTGCGGCGGTTTGGAGGTGACAAAGCACCACACCGCATCGTTGAGAATGCGCGATTGCCGGTGATGGTTTTCATCGAAGGTGGTGGCTTTTTGGCACCTTGGACCGCAAGCTGTCCCTCATGAGTTGCGGAGTTTTGTGGATGGAAGCTGTCCCTCAAAATAGACTGACGGAGGGAGGAAAGCTTTTCCTGGAAATAGAAGGAGATCAACACCTATTGGAATAGTTGGTGGTCTGCACAGACCCATTAGAGACCTTGATGATCCATTTTTTTTGGGATTCCTTTGATGTCTCGAGTCCTAGCTCCTGAAGGGACAGCAAAGAAAACCCCAAAGAGGAGCTTTGAGGTATGGACTCAGCCCAAAGACTTCATAACTCTCGATTCACATCACCTGGACGCAACGATGGCACCGGTGTTCAAAGCTGACTCCGACGACGGGAGATCCCTACGCTCCCCTGTCACTCACATGGGTCCTGCATTTTGATAGGGGGACTACCAGCCAAGGTGTGTGTTTTTTTTGGTGTCTTTTCCTTCTTCCAGGGGTCGAACTCCCTATCTTAATACACACCCACATGGACCCTGTGGCACCCTAAAAGACCGTTTTCCTTTGCAACCTGAGCCGTTTTCAGGGATGTTAGTCTTCAACTTGGTAGGTTCTGTGAAGGTCCCTGTAGCGCTCGACTCCAAAGACTTGGTGCTGCGACTCGCTCCCGGTTCGACCGGACCCCTTTCGGTCACGACGAGTCGTTGTCTTTATTTTTTTTGCCTCGAGGTCGGGGACAAGTACCAGCAAGGCATCTATGATGGCCGGAAGCTGGTTGATAAGCAAGACGTGGTCTTGGTGAGCATCAACTACAGGTGCGGGTGCTTGGGGACCACGGTGAAGACAACCCGCAAAACACCTACGAGCAAGGCTAAAAACCTCCCCCACATAAACTAAGTAAAGGCCTTGTCATATGGAACTTGGGCGTAAGCAAAAACCTGAAAAGCGTAAGGTTGCGTAAGGGAGTTGTGAGACATGCATGCTGCGTAAGCTTGCCATATGGTTGTGCTTTCATTAGTAGATTCTTAGCACACACCTTGTCAAGAAAGGAACCTCAAAAAGGAGCCTTCGCGTAAGCATTCCCTTGGGAGTATGGTTCTCATGTGTGAAAATGCAGATGCGTAAGATTTGCATAAGGTCTTCTTCAATATCCGTGGTGTGTAAGCTCACATTGTGGTCGCGTAAGCGTAAGCAGGAACGTAAGACACTTATACAACATAGGGGGTTAATCACACGTATTTAGCGCAATGGTCTACTGTACCTGTTTTGGCCTTGCTCCACCAAGATATCTTTAAGCCGCACCTCCCTTTGCTTCCTCCCCATAGCCAGGCTTGGTGTGCTTGGCTTCCTTCATCATCCCTACCTCCGGGACGAGGCCGCCAGAGCCGGGGCGGCACCGGGTGCCCTTCGTGAGTCTGGCTCCTGATCTGGAGGTAGTCCCAGGATCTGCGAAATCGCCGTCCGTCGTGGTGAAATCGAGATCTTAGTTTTTCAAATTTGGAGAAACCGCCATGTTCCTTCGAAAGGTGCGAAGTCGATCGATTCGAACCCACCGAGCTTTTGGAATCGGAGCGGTTGCTGGAGTCGTCGTGCTCGGCGGAATCGGGGAAGCCATCAGTCGTTCGTGCAAGAGGGGCGCTGGAAAGAGGAACTCGGCGGACACCTCGAGCTCTTTATGGGCTATACTAGTAGCGTCCTTGCTACCCCCTTAGAACTCATGATTCAAAAGCCCGAACTCGTCCGAGCCCCCCAGGGGGGGCGACCACCCCCGGCGGTCTCCCATAGGCCACTCAGTCAGGAGACCGCGTGACTCAAAACGTGACCCCTCTCCGCTATAGGAGAATCATCTCATGAATTTCGGCCTGCGCGACCAGCTGGTAGCGCTTCGTTGGGTCCACGAGAGCCTTGGATGTCATGGGGATCGTGCCATGGTTTTTTCACATTTCATGCGGAAAAACGGTTCGTGCAGAAACTGAAGCCCAAAATGGTGACAGTGACAGTCCAAGAAACCAACAAGGAGTTTTTTCGCGGTTCCAATTTCGACCACGACCGTGGACCGAGTGCGGCCGGATGCGTGATGCGATGCGTCGCATGCGAATCGCGCGCGGCTGACTGGGGCTTCGGATGACCGCCCTTTGTTTGACCGGCCACTTAGGGCTTGTTGGGTTCACATTGATTCACCGACCTCTGGACGAGTGCGGACGAGTGCGGATGAAATGGGTGACCAGTTCCCGGAAAATCCTCCATCGTCCGCCCAGCTGACGGGAGGTGCACATCGGTTCACCATGGTTCACCTGTATACGTCGCTTTCAACGACCAAGGGCCACGTCCACGTGGCACTTGTACGAGTCTTCGAACTCGGGAGGAATGGCCCTAAACGGTTCATTTTGGGCATCCGCGATGTTCCATGTCAAGGGCATGGGCTCCAAACCTGGCCAAGCAAACCCCATGGATCTGACGTGGATGGTCTTGGGTGAAGACTTTGAAGCTTCCCCCACCTGAATGCACCTCTACCCGGATGTCGCCAAAATGCTGCTTCTGCACTGTTCTGCACTTTCATCTACCAGCAGCTCGGAGTCTTTCATCTCCAAAAAGGGTCTGGAAGCCATGCGGAACACGATGTATCTTTTTGGAACCAACCGCTATCACGCGCTGCCACAGGAGGATTTTACCAAGTCTATGGTGTGGGGAGAAGTCCCCCTGGTTCCTTTAGCCTGTCAAGGGCTTTTTGGGCGGGCGATCTCTAATGACCCTCCCCAATAGCTTCCTAGAATCATGCCTGGACCCTCTAACGGACTTTAACCTCGTGGCAATTCCCAGCAAGAAACCACCTCGTTGGTTCGCTCCCCAAAAGCCGCCCCAATCAAACCCGATTCTCATTGGCTCCGCTCACCTTGCGCCGCCACCCAAAACGCCCACGCTCCGGCCTCCACGCGCCGGCCTCGGCGCGCCGTGCGGCCGACCTCGGCGAGCCAGGAACATCGCGGCCTTTGGTGGAGACCCGAAGCGCGTGACGTTGGTGGGCGAGTCGGCCGGCGCGATGTCCATCTGCGCTCACCTGGCCTCCCCGGCGCCTTGGACGGAGAGGCTGGGTGGCGGACTGGTGGGCTTTTCAGGTGGCCGCCTTTGGTGTTTTATCAGCCACTTTGGCATGGGTTCCGCATGCCGGGGAAGGGCCAAGTGGTGTCATGGAGGGGCCAAAGCATTTGGGTTGGCGCTGGGCTTAGCTGGGCTTAAGAGTTGGGGGGGACCAAAAACTCCATTGACCTGCAACATGGTTCCCAAGTTTGAGTGGTGAGTAGTTCCACTCGATGGCACCAGTGAATTTCAAGCCTGGGCGGCGCCGTCTCGACGGTGCCGAGTTCGGTGTGAACGGTTTCGGAGAACTAAAGAAAACGACGAGACGGTTTTTCCCAGGCTGCTCGTCCCTTCTTCTCCAACGTGATCATGGAATCAACGTGCCTGGCTTGGTGGATGAGCTGTGGCAATTCTTGTTTTGATGGCATCGAGGAGGGTCCTTTGCGCAGGCTACTCACTAACATGGAAGTGGACAGCCACCTGTTTGTAGAGGAAAATGGTCAGCCAAGAGGCCATGCCATCCACATCCATGATTTTCAGGGAGTGTAAATATGCTAATCAGCTATGTAATCCATTCTTCATCTGACAGCATGCGGCAGCATGCGGCAGCATGCGTTCAATAGAACGTCCGAATTGTGCAGCTTCCACCACCCGTCTCCATCCACAGCACGTTTGAACATCCTTTACAAGAAAACGGGCCACACGATTCAAGCGCTTTCCACACCTTTCACCTGATTCTACTAAGTTGCCACAGCCCAAGAATTGGTCGGTGCAAACCCAAGCAGCAGGCTTTGATCATCTCTCTATGGAGGTTGTGAAGGTTGAAGTTCTTACTTTCGTTACTCTCACAGCATGATTGGTGCACATACTCAGACGCTAAAGCATGACTAGCATGACCCATGGTTTGCGCTTGAGCATATGGGGCTGTCAGCACCTGGTGGGTTTTCTTTCAAACGCGGAACGCTTGATGCCAAACCCAAGCGCTCGACCCCCTGCAGAGATGTATTACTTTTTCGAGTCCAATGGTATATTTTGAGGTCCTCAAAATTTGTTAGACACCGTTTCAGTTTCCAATCACCTCTTTAGAGTCGGCTCTCTCATTCTGTAAACACCAAGATTTTTTCCAAAGATAAAACACCTGTAGGGTCTCTCGACCCCCCTGATGAAGACAGACCAAATTATGGAGCCCAGGAACTGTGACGGCTTCTTTATTTGGCAACCGCAGAAGTTTGCGCAGGACCAACTCGGGAAAGGACGTGCATTTTGTGGATGGCTTACCACTTTTTTGATCTTTTTTGGGATGGTTGGAATCGGAAACTAGTGGCATCCCGAGGTCGCTCAGTGGTCCAGAAAAGGAGACGAGCCTCGTGCATGTTCCGCCCTGGACGTTTACGTTCAGGGGCCGGGCCGTTCTGAGCCTTTGGATAGCGAGCTGCGGCCGCACCATTGCAGGGCCCCCCCGCTCTGCTGTGTCCGCACCATTTGCGTCTTCTTAGCTTTCCACGGCCGAAGGCTTTCCTTCGAAGGTTCGGAGTTCCATTTCGGAGCTGTTTTTCGGCCCATCTCTTCAGGGATCAAGGCCGGGTCTCTGACTTCAGAAGCTCCCGTTCTTCCTCTTCCTCTCGAACTTCTTCCTCTTCGCGGCGCCCGCGCGTGTTCCAACTGTCCAGGACTGGGGCATGCGCTACATCCGGGGCGTCTTCGGACGGATCCGGGCATGCCACGCTTTGACCCAGCAGAGCCTGAAGGTCTACAAGGACGGGTCGTTCCGCGGTCCGGACGAACGAAGCGGTCCGACAGAGAAGGACCAAAAAGCAGGAGTGAAAGCTGCACCACGAAAAGGGGTTGGCGAATAAGACACTTTGAAGCTTCGGAAGGTTGGTTTGTATGTGGTGAACTACCCAAATGATGGTCATAGAATCATTGGTACATCGAGGTTTGCATTGATTTGTACATTTCGAATCCAAGCTTGTGGCCTTTAGATCCTCTTGACAGCAGAGGAGAGCCAGAATGACTGCAGCAGCACAGACACCGCACCCATTCGAACAGTCTATGAACGGTGCCTGGCTTGTAGGGGCTATTGAAGGGGTGTTGGGGGGGGCTGGTTTCTGGAGGTATTGGTTTTATGCATGAACATACATCGTGCAAGCGATTTGAGCTTGCATTGACAAGGTGTACCACGGTGTATCAGGGTCTTGCCGCCATCTACAGAACAGTTTCTTTTGTCAGTTGTTTTTGCCGTGTATCGACTTGGCCATCCAGAGGCCATTTTGGTCGAGGGTCTGCACCAAACATGTTGCGGCCAAAAAATGGCCAGTGGATATAGCATACCATTTTAGATATATGGGCGGACCAATTGTTGGTGGAGAGCCAAACAAAGGGCTGTTGAGGACATTCCAAGGCGCATCAAACACTTGTCTGACGCACGGAACTGGGGACTAGAAAATGATGGGCTGAACTCTTGAACTGATACCAGGACCCCCTAAGGTGTCCTTAGGATAGAAATCACCTTGTTCTGCGTATCCCAAACCTTGAGTAGGGGCTTCATCGATGACCAACTCCATCCAACGGACCAATCCTTTGGACCTTCCAATCCCTCACCCAACCGTGGGTAGGTTGACACTCCTTTCACACAGAAAAATCGGTTCATGTGACCAACCCGGCAGGTTCAACCAAGCAGGGTGTTTGGGTGCTCCCTGCCATTCCTCAGCTCAGGTGCAGCGAGTTCTTCTTCTCCACCCCCGACGAGCACAACTTCACGGCCTTCGTGGCCTCGGCGGAAGGGTCGTCGTCCCGCCGGAGGTGCTGGGGGTCCGGCGCTCCCCGTCCGGCCTTTCGCTTCGAGTGGTTTTGGGGGTCCGGCGACCTAGTGGATTTGCATGGATTTCTTCTGGTTGCTTGCTACATTGGGCATTTGCATCGGCCCTCCTTCCTGGGCATTGTGTACCTGTTCCCATGCGGGACCGCTCGGGCTCCGGTTCCTGTCGCCACGACCGGGGTCGGCCATTCCGGGGGACTTCTTCGGTGCCCGAAAGAATGAGGTCGAGATGCTTCCTTTGGAGTGGATTGGAGGCGCTCGCTGAAAGCTCGTTCGTTGTTCGAGCTTCTGAGAACCGTCAACCGGGTTCAGTGGATCAGACTGTGAGGGAGGCCCCCCTGTATTTACTGATTCTAGCCGTCAACCGCTCTGCAGAATACAGCACCGGATGTTGCAGTAAAAAAAGGTGCAGGCCTGATTTCTGTGCAAAGACCCTTCCGCATCTTATAGATGCAGCCTGCTCCCATGGTCAGATCCTGTAATTACACTGTAAATCATTAATATGTCAAAACCATTCGAACCCCCTTCAAATGTAAGAGCACAACGCTCCTCGCTCTGGAAGAGAACATCTCCTTCTCCCGACGAAACCTCACGCCACCTTGCCATCGCTCTCTCCAGCCGAGCCGGAGCGGGATCTGGTGGACGCGGGTGTCCTGGCTTGTCCATGACCTAGTTTCAAATTGCAAAGGACCTGGTTGCCATTGTAATTGCGGCCTAAGGCCTTTTTGGCTTCGAAAGGTCACAGACTTCGATCCCGGGGTCTTCGATCCCATGACATGGATTCTGGTTCACACGCCCCTCCCCTCGGCCCACCCCCGCGGTCTCCGCTTCTTCGAACTCCCCCCAGCCTGGCCGCTGAAAGCGCCAGGCTGCGACGGCCGGTACCGGGGCTGTGAGGAGCTGCCGCCGCTGCCGTCGCGTCTGCCGCTGGACGACGCCCTCCTGCGCTGCGCGCGCCGTGCCTGGGCGGTGGTGGAGCCGGTGGAGCGGGTGGAGCCGGTGGAGCCGGTGGAGCCTCATGCTTCACAACAGAAAAGAAAAGGAAAGAGTGCGATGACCATATATTGGTCCCGCATGGCCAAAAGCATTCTTTTTGGCTAAAGCAGCTCCAAGAGTGATCATCAACCGCTCCCATTTGGATCATTTGGCGAGTGTTCTTTTTTTCAAGAACACCTGGTCTTGATCGTTTTCTCGGTCCGGTTGGGTCTTGGACAAACGTCCAGGATTGGATGCTGGACACGTCTGGGTGAATCAATTTGGCATCACACATCGCCACAAGAGCCTTGGCAGCGTCAGGGATGGAAGAGTCGACGTGGAGACTTATTTGGGATGGACGAGTCGAACGCGTCGATTTTCGGAGCAGACCAATTGTACCTCACCAAAAGAGCCTTCTTAAGACTTCTCTTTGTCCGACTCGATCAGATCGATCAGATCGATGGCGAGTCTCGACCGAGGTTGGAGAGCGCTGGGTACCTGGAGCGGTTGATGGGAGTCTTGGAGCATTTGGACATGCAGTGACCATCGGAGGCCTTTCATTCCAGCACCGGGGAGTTTGGGTGGTTGGGATGACACCCCCTGACTATATGTATTTTCCATCCAACAACAACCCTTTGGGTTGGTTTATAGAGGGGATACCTCGTGCAAAGGCTGACTCTTCAGATATCTTCTACCCAAAAGAACATCATATACATGAACAAAGAGACACAACGCATTTGCCATTGCGACACTTGGAAAAAATCGGCGCGCTTCATTGGCGTTCCACTCAGCAGCTGTCTTTTCTTTACAGGAGAATGGGTCGATTTGGAAAGCTCCTCATGCCCCGCCCACCGCCCTTCCCAAGGGACTGAGGGCGGTCCAAGCGCAAACCATTTCGGTGTGGCTGTCCACCAAGTCGATTCTCTCTTCGATTCCTCAAAACAGGCATCAAAGACGGTTCTTAGTTCTTACCTTTTGCATGCTTTCAAGCCAACATGAGAGTAGAAACAGGACCCCCCTTGGAAGGAGTCTGTCGTTGTCTTTTTCCGCATGATTCTACCAACCAGGGCTTACAACCCTTTCTTGAAGCAGCTCCACGGTGAAAAGGGGGGCAACCCAACCAAAACGACCCTACAGTCCTCTACGCCCCACCACGGAGCATCCCCGGATCCTGAGCCTCCCTGCAGAGCATCGGTCCGACTCCATGGGGGGTTCCGCGCCGCCGAGGCATGGACTTCACGGGCATGCCGCTGCCGCCGCATTTGCCCTGGGCGCCGGTGGTGGATCCCACAGGCGCTTGTGACCGTGGTGTATGTGTGTTTTGGGAAGGGAAGGGTTCAGGACGGGCAGCGATGGGTGCCGGACATGGAGAGGGTGAACTGAACTTCTGTGAGTCTTTAGGTTTTGGACCTTTGGAGTCGCCTTGGACCTTTGGAGTCGCCTTGGATTTACCAGGGACCTGGCGGGACCGGTCTGGAAACCCTTCTTGAAGGAGCTTGCAGAGGACATGATTCTTCAGGATTCTGAACGGATTCCCGAATTGTTTGCCAGTGGAAGGAAGGCTTCAAAAGACCATCACTGACGGCCTGACCTTTGTCTCGCACTCGTCAATCGTCCTAAGAAGTTGAACCAAGCATTGGTGAAAACCAGACACCTCAAAATGTCTCCTCGTTCAAAGTGGACAAATTCACTGCGGCCCGCCTCCCAGCCCTGTTCTCCTCGCTCAACTCTGTGCGTAGGAGGTCAATCTGATTCCTAGTTCCGGATCTAAAGGAGCTGATCCAGGGATCTTTTCGGTCCTTATTTCAGGTCTAAACCAAAAATTAACAACAATTAGATGTCCACGTAATGTAGGGCTCTGGGTCTTTCCACCTGATGTAGGGCTCTTCGGTCTGCAGAGTCGCCGTGGCAAGTTCGGCGGCTTCAGACGCCCTTTTCTGCTCTGTGGAGGTTTCGCACTCTGCATGACTCGAATCGGCCCATGCTAAGCAGGGCCCGTGAGCTTGCACTATGGTACCGGTGGTGGACTTCTGACGCTCCCGCATCGAGCGCTCTCAGAGGAGATGGGGGGAGAGGTTGTGGTTGGGGTTGGTGGCTGGAACTCGAATTTTGAGACCCAAGATTCGTTGAGGATCATGAGGCTATGCACAACTGATTGTCAGATTTGAGGTGATTGCTTCGCATCTTTTTGGTCGAAGCACCAGTTGAGATGAGTCTACCTGCTGTTGTTCATCCTGATTGAGGATCCAAGCATGTTGGACCTGGGAAGTATCACTGCTGGCTTCAACCGCGATGATGCCTGGCTGAAGAATTGCGCTCCATGTCTCCAATCGCTCCATGTCTCCTGGGCCCTTTGACCGGCAAACCTTGGTTTTGGAGCTCGTTTTGAGGGGGATAAGAAAAGCCACCCGACATCCGCTTGGAGTTATGGAACTGATTCCAAAGTTGTTTAAACTTCATGAACAAAACATTAGGAAAGCCAAAGTATCTTCTAAAATACAGTATAGACACTATTTGAACCAATCAGTTTGTAGAGGACAATAGTCATCCAAGGGGCCATGCCATCCACTTCCATGACTGTTTCAGGAAGTGTCCAATTTATATAATTCTACTTTACTTCATTTTGACTCCTGCTCACCCTGTGGGCTGTTGGCCATGCAAGGAAGGCACCTTATTCTCGCTCTTGGTGCCGCATTTCCTGGGATATGTGCCACGATTCAGCAGCACAGGCTCCAGCGGCTGTGGGTTCGCATGGCACAGCAGGTAACACCTGCTGATGTCTTTGGCCACGGATTGAAAGGTTGAACAGACTCCTGCCACATATGGGCAGATGCGTCTTAAAAGCAAAGTGCTGCCAGAATAGATGCAGATTTGCAGTTGGTCGGGTGGACACCAACACAACTTTCGGAAGCTTGTTAGTTAGAGCTCCACGACCATGTGCGTGATCATATGTGAGTATCTGATCTTGCCACTTCTGCTTTTGGGAGGCATGGTTGATGAGGTCTACAATGACATTTTGACTCAGATGGCTTGCCCAGACTATGGACCTGCTTGCGCCAAAGAAGGGACTCTCGATGCAGAACTGCTCTTTTTTCGATGGCGGCGGGGGTGATTACTCCCGTTGAGGTCAAGGGTTCAGGGAAGTTCAGCGTGATTCTCCATGGCCATCATTGCCATCATCCACCTGGTGTTGTCTAGATCCATCATCATCCATTGGTTGATTGCTTGGTCAGGTCATCTTGATGATTGCTTGAACCCCTGGACACGTCGGACACGGCAGGACCACGCACCCATGCACCGCACGCGTCGGACGCCCCCGCCCCTCCTGACCCCGACCCAGGTGTCAGGCTGATCCCGACTGTGCAGATCGGCTGGCCCAAGTCAGGAGCGACGACGAACGACGACAGCGTGGTTCTGTGCTGTTTCTCGGTGATGTCGGTTCGAACATGGGGTTCCGAAGAGAGGAGCGGATGATAGGGAAGTTCAGTCACTTTTTTCTAGAAAAAGTTCAGTCATTCAAGTCATTCTGGATTCAGTGATCTGGGGCTGACCGTGGCTGACCTGGCTGACCTCATGTTTGCCCATTCACCCGGCTGGAGGAACGAATACGAGTGGGAGAAGAAGCCCTCCCTCGCTCGTGGGGGATGCTGCTCCAAGGAGCCGTGAACCGGCGACCTGGATTCGGTCGACCGAAGTCACTGAGATGTCGGTCGCCAGCGACTTGCCAAACCAATCCCATTTGCACTAGTTTTTTAAGCATCCTGCAGATGAGTTTTATAATCTATAAGTCTTGGCCGGCGTCTTGGCGTCTCACGACCCAGCCTTGTCGATCTCCCGCGCATGGTATCTGATGGTGTTCCGGTGAATCCGCGTTGTGGAACGACGAGACGGACAGGATCACAACACCATGCGCTTGCAACGGATCTTGACGGACTACTTGCAGCTTCAGCTGCAGGGATGGAGGGCCTGGGATGTGCCAGATGACAACTTCGCTCGGAGTGGGAAGGAATTTGTAGAAAAAGGCAGCAGATACTTTAGGTGTACCACGAATCTGATGATGACGAGTTACGAGATGGAGATGCCTTGAACTTAGGGACTTTTTACGATAGATTTCGGTTCCAAGAGGATTTTCCTGCCTCTCCCATCGCTATATACTTGGATTTGGTTGGATAAATCTCCCTTTGATCGTTCCAGCGATGGAAGGATCTTCACTTGATGCACGGCACACTGCTCCTTCCGAGGGCCGAACACGTCCGAGGGTTTCCCCCCAAAACCGGCCGCCGCGACTCCCCGCATGGGGAGTCTGGCCACGTGAGGTTTGTTTGCCCCACCCTGCGGTTTCTGAAGACCATGGAGCGACGCAGTAGCAACTCCTCCTTCCGAATCTACGAGTGCCTCGGAGCTCTGCCAGTTGGAGCAGGGAGCCTCTCCCCAGCGGGTCGAAAAGGGAGCAAAACACGAGACCGGCAGAGGAGAGGCAGAGGCTTCAACACATCTATACATGGTATAGATCATGGTATACGGTCCTGGAATGGAATCATGTCTGCCGCCATGGTGGATTTCCATGAAGTTCGCACTGGTCCACCGAAACGGAGCCCGGAGTTCCACCTTTCTTGGACCGAACCCGCCGACCGGGCAGCAGCTTTCAGAAGGTCCCGTCGCTTCGGACCATGACCTTCGGACCACGACCGGGATCGATTTCTGGCCGCTGATGTTCCGGACATGACGTGACGGCTGGAGGGCTTGGGCTTTACGTACAAGACTTCACAGTCGAAGGTGTTTCGTTGGCTTGCTATTCCTTTTTTCTTCGGTAACAGCCAAGTGACCACCTCAACTCAGCAGACCTAGAACCCAACCCCAGACCTTTAAATACACACACACATGTGCCCAGCACCACAGATGCGGGTGGATACTGGATGGAAAATACATAGGAAAAGGGTGTCCACAACCACCCTTTCCGTGGTGCTGGCTGGTGTTTTGTTTGTTTTGGGTCATTGCACCTTGCCAAACGGCATCTCTTCCACTGTTTTCATGTTGATCGCCTTGCACTGGTGGACCAGATGAGAGGCCGAGCTAACGAGTTCGCGATAAGTACCGGTATAGTATAGATGACTCCTTGGATCACTCCTCAGGTTTGAAGCGGATGACGAGCTTCCCAGCCTGCCGCATGGAGAAAACGGCGTGCGGCCTCCGTTTCAGGCGGACCCCGTCACGACACGAGTCACCAGCGATCCCCTGGGCCCCTGGTCGAAGTCGAACGACCTTTTCGTCACTGGGGGAGGTAGCTGAAGTTGAGAGAAACCCCAACTGCGCAGTTGGATGCCAAAACCGAAAACCCTTCTGCCAACAGCAAGCTGGACCAGATTTTGTTCTCACATACGGACTTTACAGGACGGTCAAACCGTTTGGACCCCCAAAGCTATGGGATCCCACAATCCCCACTCTGAGACTGTTCGATACTTACAAATGCCGTGCAAAACGCTGGCATTGACCAGCCTTTTGATGTGCCGTTTTGGCCAGACCACCCTCTGCAGACCAACATGGACCGCGAAAAAACCAGAAGAACGGAACCCTGCAGTCGACTAGCTTCTTCTACAACCCAGTGGTGTCCAGGGATCCGAACCCTGAAAAGCAAGGGTTCTGAGGGTACAAACCGCTTTTTTTTGGAGTTTTCGACCCCTGCTATGGAGGGTGCAAGGAAAACCCATCGGGAGGAGGGTATCTCCAAGGATGCCCGACTTGAAGAACACGTTGGGTGCCTTCCACGTCAGCGAACTCTTTTTCGTCTTCGGCAACGAGGTGGGCCGCTTGGGGAGAGACTCCCCCAGGCTCCGCCTCCGTTCGATCGGAACGCACGAGACACGATGAGATGTGCTCACGCTTTTTGAGTCCTACTGGATGGTTTTTGTGGCGCTCCCAGTTGTGGACCTTTTCGGTCACCACATACATGAGATCACCTCACGTACCAGGAGTTTAACCTGGTGCGCCTTGTTGACCTGAGGAACCTTTTTGCGACGTCTGGACCACCAAACGTGCATTTTTGGTCCGTTCCATATCCCAAACAAGGATTACTCCCCTGGGCTCTAGCTATTCTTATAGCAACCTTAGTCTTCAAAATGACATCAAAAGACGTTGATTTCATTCTAATCATTTTCCCAAAGATCCAATCACGCTTAATCCCGCTTGTTCACGTTCGTTGACATTCTCTTTGCGAAGACACACCGATGCCTTGGAGTTGCCGCTTGAAGAACCTCGATGATGGGCGACCAACGAGTTTTGGTGAAGGGGGAAAAACTCAAGACAGTTTTGACAAGTCTTTCTCTCTAGACAGCTCTGAGTGAAAGAACATGGTACAACCATGTGCAGCTTTTTTTGTCAAACAAAACCATTGCCAACGACCTTTCCCTCACGACCTGGTGCAACACACGAACGGTCGCGTTCGTGCGAAACGCATGCTCATCTTTTGATGTGCGAAGCTCTGCGACCCATGGTCGGTGTCGCAGGTTGCGCAGTGCCTTCGGTTTTCCCCCCTCTTCGGAAGAACCAACGCACACACAGAGTTCACGTGCCCCTCCAAAAGCCCAGAACATACCAAACAGCACTGGAAGTGGCCAGGAGCCTAGTCCTGCCAGGTCCTGATTCTCACATAGATGTGGAACTGGTCACTGGTCAACGCCAGGAGGGCCCTGGTGGGAATTTGCCCATGCAGGGCGGAGCCTTTGGCCTTGGCTTGGGCTTCACCAAGCAGGCGAGGCCGGACCGGAGTTCGGGAAGCGGCGACGCGGCTTCCGTGGGCCGGACTCGCCGGTTCGAAAAGCGATCCGAAGAAAAGGGCCGTGGACTGGGCCTGGGTTCCCTAAGTGAGGCCGGTGAGGTGAGGTGACTGGTCGCATTTTTTTGGGGGGGGCTGGGGTCTCTTTTTCGGTCTTGACTCATTGACTCCGGTGACTGCCGTCCTCACGTCCAATCGGCTTTTGATCGTGGGGGCGACCGACCGGATTCCGCCGCACGCAGGATGTGGTGATCTCCAAGAAGATGGCCGACAGTTGGGGTGCGTTGGTGCGCCATGAGGTGGAGCCGGGGCGATAGCGTCGCGGGGCGAAGTGAAAAGAACCGCGGGGTGTCAGATGCGGGTACTGCCCGGCAGTTCTGGCGCTTTGCTTGCATTTGACATGTTAGAGGAGAAGTCGAAGCATATCGAGGGCTGATGCTTTTGATCTCAACAGCCTTGTCGCGCGCGCTGAAGCTGTAGGTAGGTATCAGGCTCTGGGGGTAGACGGCTCAAGACCTCAACGCCTTGGCAGGACGACCTCCCGGCTGGTCCAAAAATGGGATGTCGGGGGCGCCCCGACTCGACTTTCACAACTCAGAACGCCTGCAAAATGGATGACAGCATGGCTAGGACATACTAGAAACCCCTGTTTGGGATGGCCCTATCTATTCGGTGAGGAACGGGGTGGGTCAAATACCCACCCAAATTCGGCCTTCTGGACCCGGCAGGAGGTGCCACACTGGCCCAACTTGACCACCAACCAAGTGCTGCGCTTTGTGCTGGATGTCCCCGGCAATGTCCCTTGGGCGTCGCACCTGGGTGTCTGAACCAACGGTGTCCCCCCCGGTGGTTCGGTGAGTTCCGGCTCACCAGTTCGGTGACGGGCTTGGTTTTGGGCAACGAGAACGAAGCTTTCGTGTCTGGATGTGTCTGGGTCCGTATCGTTAACGGGGGGAGGATGTGGGCCAGAGGTGTCGTTGCCTCTCTCTCGGCCAAGCAACTCATTGAAGGTTGAGTTTCACTTGGCATTCCTCGGTCTTCCTTGGGTTTGTTCGGAGGTCTTTGGTATTCGCGGGGGGATCGGGACAACTGATGCCTTTATTTGAGCAAACTAAGGTGGATTATATCTCCTTGGATGTGGTCCGCAAGATTCACCATTGCAAGTTCTTCGACCAACTGCACCTGAAGATGTTGGGGGATCTTCAATGACGCACCGTATCCGCTGTTTCGCAGACCTTGAAGGCGATAGACCGATGAGACGCCCGCCGTGCCAAATCCGTTCCTTGACCTTTCCCTGTTCGACCCAAGCGCAGAAACCAAGGGCAGAAACCAACCGCCTTTCTGGTGCGGTTGGTCGCCACAGAACCAGTGGGGGATGTGTTGCCGAAACTGGAGAAACTGGAACGATTTCGAGATGAACATGTGGCTTGTCGAAATACTCACACTCCACCACATTGTTGCCACACGCACACACACACACACACACATGCAAGCATTTGTTCTTTGAGGTCCGCAAGGACACTAGCAGCTAGCAGTTCTGTCTTGTTTTTTTTGATGGATTCATGCAATGAAGAAGGGAAGCAGTTGGTTGTCTTGTTGGTGGTAGGGTCTAACTGATGATCTTGGGTCACCATTTTGGCTCAAGATCATCAGCCACCACTGCCCCCTGTCATTTTTGCCATGTTCCTAGAGTGCTTTCTGGTGGTGGCATTTGTGATTGGGGTTTTGACTGGTGGCTGCTGCGTGTGGTGCTGTTGGGTCCCGCGCCAGCTTTCGCGGGTGGAGGCGCTGCAACCGGCCTTGATCGGGCCGCAGTCCTTTCCAGGTCTTCTCCATGGCAAGGAAAAGATCTTGCCCACCGACGCTGAGCTGGGTGCCCTTGATTCAGTCGAGCGTGTTTGCCGGTGGTCCGGGCTTCCTGAAGGTGTTTGGCGCCAGTTTTCCAATACATTGGGAGGATGCACACAGTTGCGTGTTCTGGCAACATTGCCCCAGCAGACACTTCAGGATGCAACCTCTAGCACATGAATGCCTTTTATTGATGGTGCTGAGCGTCCGTCGTCGGCAGTTGAGATCATTCAGGTTGCGTTGCCGTGGCGTGTTGCTAGGCTTGCGTTTGGCGTTGTTGACATAGATCCCTTGCTGGCTGATCAAAACACCACAGCACCTGCAGCCCCTGGGACTTTGAGTGGAAGTGGAGGAGCAGGCGTTCCTTCTGCAGGTGGGTCCCCCACCAAGAAAGTGAAGATGAGTGCAGCAGTTGATCAGCTGGATGAGACGGAGGTGGAACTTTTGACCACGGCTGACATCGAAGCTGCATACATCAACTTTCGGCAGATGCTGATCCAACAGTGGAGCAAATCACTGCCATGGTGACAAAGGTGCTCAAGAGAAAAGAGGCGCCCTATGCTGATTTTTCAGTGTTGACGCCATGAAGCAAGCCAAGGCCAGAAACTTTCTCCTTCAGGCTGATGGATCGTGGAAGACGGTTGAAATCCCTGGCCCGCCTTCATACAGCGCTTGGACGGCCTGCTGGAAGATTTACAGAACAGTGCTGCTCATGATCAAGCACCCGGCCAATCCGCTTGCACATCGTCCTGCTGAACCTATTCTCACGGTTGCAGCATTGGAGGAGTACTTCAACAGGGTGGCAGAACTCAATGAAGAGTTCCCAGATGCGTGGCATGATGCAGGCTGAGGAGCTGGTCAGAGCAAAGAATGAAGGCAGGTTGCCAATGAACCTGGACTTTGATCCCTTTCGCCCTTGGGTTGGAGTGTTCCAGTACGCTGCACGTTGTCAGGAATACTGGGATCGGACAGTTGTTCGGCACGTGGAGGGGAGGAGCTGGCAAGAGTGGCACTATGTCAAAGAAGGAGGCGGAGAACACCCAGTATTCAGATGCAGCTTCGTCGGCAATGCGTAGAGCTCCAGATGAAGGTTTGTCGAAGGCAGCAAAGCGCAGACAGAGGGACTCAAGTTCGGTGATGCCCCATGGAACCAGGGCAAGGCTTGGTCGAAAGGCTCAAACAAGAGTCAAGACGGTGGTCATCCTCGCAAAGCAGGTCGAGAGTTTGTTACGGACGGGGATGGCAATGAGATCTGTTTCGCATTCAGCAAAGGTGCACTTGGGGCTTGCCCTGCGCCATGTCAGAATCAGCGCTCCCATCTATGTCAGTACTGCCTAGGTGCTCATCCCAACTCCCAATGCAACACCAAGGGAGTGGGGAAGGGCAAGAAGGGCTGACAGGAGGAGCCACCCCTGGCGATTGATGATATGGTCCAAGAGTCGGGGGTGGGAGCATGGTCGAATTCGGTTGAGGAGGCAAATGAATTCAGTCAGAACCCACGGCAGAGGATGTTTCAGTTTGGTGAGTTCTTCGCGGGCTATGGCGGCTTTTCAAAGACGGTTGAGGAGCTGGGCAGAGGAGTTGTTGAGGTGTCTTCACCTGAGGGTTGGGACATTTTGACAGACGAAGGCTTGCAGAGAGGGCTGACTTGTGCGATGAGCTGGACCACGGCCACATGGCGCCGCCTTGTCGCACGTTGACCAAGGCTCGCAGGTCGGACGAGTTCGGCGTCGCGAGAATCTTGAGGTCGGATGCTTATCCGGAAGGTTGGGGTGATCCAGAGGCTGAAGAGGCGAACAAAATTGTTGACCGAATGGTTCAGATGATTTTGCGGCTAGTTGCTAGGAAGAGGACCTTTTCAGTCGAGAACCCGTGGCTTTCTTTCATCTGGCAGTTGAAGGTGATGTTGCGACTCTTTCGCCTACCAGAGGTCGAGTTGGTGTTGCTTCATCAGTGCCCGTATGGGGCATTGACACCAAAAGCTACAGGCATTCTCACTAATGCAAGCTGGATGAAGAGGGTTTGTGCATTTGAATTGCACTACCAATTGAATGGGCATGGCCTGGTCATTTCAGAAGGACAGATATGTGTGGAGGACTTCATTAGCTGCAGAGTATCCGTGTGGGTTGACAATTGCATGGACAAGGGCATTGTTGGAATGGCTTCAGTCAGAGCGGCAGAACACCCTCATGCTTGCAGAGAAGCTGGATCGCAAGCGTAAAGCTGAAGACCAGACTCCTAAGGAGACTTTGCTTGAGAGGCGTGAGAGGGAGAACAACGAGTCATGTGGAGGGCTTCGTTTTGCGAAGAGGGGAGTGGCGAGGTCAACCCCGTTGAGACGAGTTGGTGAGAGGTTGAGGCAGGTGTTAGATGCATGGATTACAGACCGGTTAGTGCAGCAAATACAGACAGATTTGCAACAGGGAATCCCGGATGATGATGTGCAGCAATTGCAGTTTTTGGCAACTGGGGAGCAATGGCCAGTCGATTTGTGGAGGGCATTGCTGTCGGCAGCTCAGGACCCAGAGCAAGAGGTCCTTCCACGTTGGATGGAGCAGGGTTTCCCGCTGGGCATTGTGTGTGACATTGATTACACCGGTGTGTTTCCGAGGACAGAAGGCGACACTGCTGCAGCTACGGCATCCAGGATTGAAGCATCCAGGATTGAAGGGGTGGTGCTGGAAGACCGCACGGGTGATCTGGAGAACTACCGGAGCTTCAAGGAGAGTTCGGACAAGGCACAACCCTTGTTGCATGAGATGGTGGAGAAGGGCCGAGCAGTCGTGATGCACGCGTGGGAGGAAGTATGCAACACCTTTGGGTCAGATGCACAGTTGACCAAGATTGGTTGCCTTGTTAAGCAAAAGGAGGATGGCAGCTGCAAGTCCCGTTTGATCTTCGATGGACGGAGATCTGGCGTGAACGGCCGCATCACCTGCAGAGAGAGGGTCACCCTGCCACGTATTTCAGATGTGGCGCGGGGCTTCTTGCAGTTGGTCAGCAACAACAGTCATTGGTTTCCCGGTTGTTACATTGAGTTGATGGCTTTGGATTTCAAGGATGCATTTAACATGTTGCAGTTGCGAGCTGACGAGAGGAAGTTTGTCGTCGTGAAAGGGCTCCCTGACAATGAAGGACGTCAGCGGTACTATGTTAGCTCTTGCGTGGTGTTTGGTGTCGCAACGGGGCCACTAGTGTGGTCTCGGATTGCAGCAGCTGCTATGCTACTTGGTCAGGCTGTCATGCAAGTGTATGAGACTGACGTGCATTGTTACATTGACGACCCTTTGATGGTTTCAGTGGCACAGTCAACAGAGCAGCGCACCAGGCATTTGCTTTGCTAGAGCTTAGGCCTGGATGTCTCTTGGAAGAAAGTTGTCCGGGGACAATCTCTGCGATTGGCTTTCAACTGACCGTGACAGGGCCAGATGCATGGGACCTGCAAGTGGAGTTAGCCGAGAGCAAGAAGCAGAAGCTCCTTGACGTGTTTGAGCAGCTTGAGCAATACCATGGTATGGTCTCTTTGCACTTGGTACAATACGCAGTGGGCATGTTGGGTTGGTTGTCATCAGCTATTCCGGCTGCGCATCCTTGGATGTCTATGTTGTGGGCGGCGCTTACAAGTGTTAAGGAGCCCAAAAAGACAACCACAGGTGGCCGATGCCCTACGCTGGTTGAAAGCGCTTCTGTACCTTAATTCAGGGCAGCCAGGTCTGTGCAAGCTGCATTGCTGGCGATCTCATGCGATCACAGTGATGGTCCAAACAGATGCATCGCCATGGGGGCTGGGCGCTATCATTGTGTCGGGGCAGCAGATAGTGGCTTACATCAGTGACCCTCTGCATGAGCACGATTATCAGCTGTTCAACGCAGTGCCTGGCAATCCATCTTTTCAGACCGAATATGAGCTGTTGGCAATCTATATAGCGCTGAAAGAGTTTGCGACGTGTTGTGTTGCGGAATGACAACACCTCGGCACTGCGCTTCAGTTACAAGGCGTCCAGTCCCATTATGACCCAGTTGGCTGCCGAAATTTTCTTAGAGATGGAGAGTCAGCGGTTGATTCATTTAATCCCACAGCACCTCCCGGGCACTCTAAATTTCGTGCCTGATCAGCTCAGTCGACCACAGACAGCAGAGCTTCCGGCAGTGCTGCGCAATGTACCTATAAGGTCAATGTGCCAGCTCGTCCACGAGCTTACTACAGGGCCTGGCCAGAGCGCTAAGGCGGTGTGAGCAAAATATCGGCAGAGGCGACGGAGGCAGGGGGGATGGAGTTGGGCCTCGCTTAGGTAACGCTGTTTCGACAATACACCGCTGGTGATTTCGAGTGTCTCCTATGGTGTTCGGAGGTTGCTTAGTTGGTGACCTCCAAACCAAGGCAGCAGGTCTGC